GGGTGAAGAGTTGTGGAGGGTGGGGAGGAGGAAGGAGGGGCTTATTTTGTTGTCCGTTGAGAAGGAAGAGGAGGAGGTACCGGTGGCGGTGGTTGAGTTGTGATCGACGAGATGGTATGAGGGGATATGACGGTGATAGTTTCCTGACGCACGAATATCACAGATCGGCACGCCAGCGAACTTTTTGATCATGGTGAAGTCCATCAGCAGGAGGGGTGCGGCGTAGATGAAGATTTCTCCCCAGCGTTTCGACGGTCGTCGCATCTTGGGGAGTTTGGGTTTCGGTGTGACTGTGTTGCCATTTTCGTCGATCGAAGTAGCAGTGTTACTAGTACTCCTTTGGCGAGAACCTTGGACGTCGATGCGGAGGTGTGGGTTCCGCCCGAATTTGTAGGTGAAGAGGATCTCGATAACGGCGTAACAGAGGATTGTTTCGATAGTCTCGAAAGCGGAGAAGCGGTAGAATGAGGAGTGGTAGAGGTAGGAGTACAAGCGGGTCAAGGCTGGCTGGAGAAGGGAGGGGAGGAATACGGATACGAAGAGGAGCGTACCGAGGATGAGCCTGGGAAGGAAGACTGACTCCCCTCTACCTGTTTCTGGCTGGAGTGAAGTTGACATGGCTCGGCTGGCTGGACTGTATGATGAATCCGGCAACATAGTGAGAAGTTCTCCCTCCGAACTTCTTGTTAACCGGAGGCGTCATGACGACTAGAGTTGACCTTAGGTAGCTTGGCATGGTCTTGCAGACGCTCAACACCGTGACTTGCTGCATGTATTCCTCGCTCCGAATGCTGCGTGTATCACCATCGTTGTGCTTTACCAGAAAGGTGAGAGACGCTCTGATGTTTGCTCGTCACTCACACGTTTATCATGGGCCAGCTCAGGATCCGGTGCTTTCAGCGCGCCACCTAACCTCTGCAAGAAACAGGCAGTGCAGATTCCTCGTGATTGATCCCTGCTTAACTAACAATCAGTGGCTCCCGGCTGCCGACCTGGCCACTTAGTTAAGGATTCGTTGGCGAGCATTCACTACTTGGGGAGAAGGGGGAGGCATAATATTGTTGTATGGTAGGCTGACGCTAGAATCAGCTTGTTACCATACAGCGCCACACATTCTTATTAGCTACGATGTACGGAGTACTGTACATTCTCGGCACTTACCGTACAGCAATCTTTACTAGCGAAGATGCTGAATGTAGAAATCTACTAGTAAAGGCATCAGACAGGGTGAATAATCCCGTGTGGATTCTTACTTAGTACATGATACGTGTAGGCGGGGTTGTTTTGGTAGCAGCTTACTAACATCAGCCTAACGATATCGATGCCCTCCGGTCGTTCCGGCCCCTCCTCCGGAATCCTACCGGAGTCCCTGAAGTATGTACTACGTAGTAATGTCAGTCTAGAGGCGCTGAAATATACGTTCTGGCGCCATTTTAAAGCATTGCATTACTAGTTTTCTATTGGCGTATAGTATCCAGGGCTCCTGATGGGGCGTCCATGAATTCTGATAGCCATTGACTGAATCTCCATCCCCTGAAGTTGGTGCTCTGTTCGAAGGTGAAAAAGAATACTCAAGCGCAGGTTTTGCGCTAAACCCCTCGGGTTAGTCGGCGTCAGAACTTACTTTCCGGCAGCTCAGTGTAGGAGCTGCTGGTTCTTATTACGGGACACAGTGTTATAATTCGTCGCTGTAGGGCTTGTTCTGGGCGCACCCTTTCTAATGAGTCAAAGCATCACATCTACATAGTAACTTCTCTGAGAATAGCTGTTTTGTACAGAGAGGGTTTACCAGTCAAGATACTAGCGGAGCTAACATCACTCCCGGTTTCCCCGTACGTAGTAATAAGGATTGGTTGTCCCAGTCAGTCGCAGTAGTCAGTGGTACTACGTAGTACGAAGTACTCAAGTAGTAGGGTGGTGTCAACCTGCTGTGCAGAGTGCGTCGAGAAGCAAGTTGATTGATAGCTACGGGGGTAGAGAGCGTAGATCTATGTACAATTGGCTGTACCGTACAGCGAAATTAGAAGCGAAATTGCGTTGGAAATTGACCAATTAGAAGCAGTAGAAACGCAGGGATTACGCATATGAAACGCGGCCAATTGGCCCTCTCAGAAGGTCAACACTATGATATCTTCGCCATCAACCTTGTGACCGCCATGCTGGGTGTTGTCTACTGGCATGATGCCAAGAGCAAGCCAGGCACCATCCCTTCCTCCTCCGATACAGCCATCAAAGTCGCAACATCCGGTGGTACTGTCCTTGGTCAGGTCGGCTTCGGTTGGCTTGCCGACATTGTTGGCCGCAAAAGGATGTATGGGTTGGAATTGATTATTATCATCTTCTGCACGCTAGCCCAGGCTCTCTCATCGGACTCCTCCGCCATTTCAATCGTCGGCATCCTCATCTTCTGGCGTGTGATGATGGGAATAGGGATCGGAGGTGGCCGCCCCTTGTCATCCATCATCACCTCCCAGTTCGCAACGACCAAATGGCGTGGCGAATTATGATCCCTATACTGCTGGCCATGCTCATTGACAGGTTTCTATTGATGATGGTGTGAACGGGGGTGGATCGGGCACGGATGTGGTGGGGAAGGAGAAGTCGGCTGTCTAAATTCAAAAGACCGAGTCTCTTTGGGTTCGCTTCGCTGCAATTCCCTGGATATCCGTAAAGCGAATTCAATATCAGTCCTATCAGCATTCTTGCATCACTGACCATTTAGAACGGTACATTTAAACGCCACCCACATGCACGTTTAAGAATTCAACCGTTCAGGACAAAAAAAGTCGCTCACCTCGCCACCCCTCTCTCCCATAAGTATCTCATCATCCTCGTCCTAGCCACACATTGGTATTTGATGTCCAACGTCGATAGACGAATTCAACCTGTATTTCCCTTCCTAGCCCACTCTATACCAAACATCCCAAAATGTTCGTCTCCTGCAGCACATCATCACCAACAAGACGGCCCTGTCCTCCCTCCTGCCTTCGTCAAAACCCCCTTTCTCCTATCTGAAGAAGAAGAAAAAAACACTACCTGATCACAAACTCCAGCCCCCTCCCCACCTTTTTTATTCCCTCCTTTCTCTCTCTTTCTCCTCTTAGTTCCTGACCCTCCTTTTCGGTCCCAAGTAATCAGTAGTACTCCACAAACCCCTCTCTTCTCTGATCTTCCCTTTCGTCGCTGCATGGGGTTTAAGCCCGCAGCCAGCCCCTTATGTCGTTGGCTGGAGCCAGGCCGGGGCCTCTGGTTATCTGTGCGTGCGTACTGGAATTGAGCCAGGGAGGTTGATTCGAAGATCTCTACGGGATTTCGATAGATAGCGTCTTGAAGGGAGTGGATGAGGGACAGAGAGAGAGAGAAGGGGTGGTGAGATGATTGGATGGATAGGTAGGAGTGAAACGGGTTTATTGAGTAGGATGTGTGAACAGAGTATGAATCCATTGTATGAATCCATTGAATAGTCGATAAAGATGGATGAACAGAATCAAGAGGCGGATATTGATTGCACTGTATCAAGCCAGTCCGTCCTCGCCTTTACTTTCCAGCCTAGCAACATTCAATCCTTGTTGAGATCTCCCTTGGGCGCCGCTGCAATGCAAAGATTAAAGTCAGCGCAACGCTCCGGAACTAAGTAGTAAGACAACGAGAAAGAAGACATCTCCCGGCTCCAGAATCCTCCACCATTCTAATTTTATGCAACTCGCTCTCCCTTCAAGCGCAGCAATCAACCTCCCCTCCTAGGCCGCTTACTCTCACTCGCCATCCTGTTCCCTCCTCTGCCTCCTCCACCGTATGGTCCACCGTCCTCGGCACGTGGGTGTTTTCGAGGAGGTAGATCGTTCCCTTCTCTCAGACCAGGATCAGGACCACGAAGGTCTCGTGCTGGTGGGCCCCGGGACTCCCTGTCCCTCATGTCCCTCATGTCCCTGTCTCCTCCTCCCCGTCCTCCTCCACGCTGCTGATGATCCCTCTCATCGCCTCTAGTGGAAGGCCCAGGCCCAGGCCCAGGCCCAGGCCCAGGCCCAGGTCCTGATTGGTATCCTCTCCTCCTTCCACGGTCGTCGTAAGGAGGAGGTGGAGGTCCTTGTGCAGAAGGTCCATGAGGTGGTGGTATACTGTTCGACGGAAGATCGGAGCTTGCTGGATCGCGGCGAGTACTTCTCCTTGGTGGGGCTTGAGGAGGAGGATGAGAGTTTTGCGCATCATCACGTTGCTGTCGAGACGAAGGCTCTCTTGGAGGACGATCTTCACCCTCACCACCAGCGCGACGATCACGTCCTAAATCTCCTCCTACTCTGTCACGCCCATGATGGTCTCTGCCTTCGCCATCTCGTTCACTTCGGTAGGTCTCCCGGTCCCGATGGCTACCTTGTCCTCTTTCATTCCGGCGACCTGTGCCATCGCCGTCTGGTGAGTGGGTTCTGCTGCTACCGGAATGTCTACTTGATCCTCGTCTGCTTTCACTGGCCTCGTCCATCAGATCACCCCTGCGCCCACTTGGTGGATATCTCTCGGGTGGTAAATCATCACGACGTTGAGAAGGCGGTCTTCGGCCATTCACGTCTTGATCGGCACGAAAGAATAGATCAGCTCGACCTTGGTCTTGCAATGGTGGAATCGTGGCTTCCGACCTTGGACCTTGGCCTGGGCCCGCTGTCGGAGTTGGTGGTCCCGAATGAGGCATTGGAGGCCCGTTTGACATACGACTTCCTCCTCGACCTCTAATGTTTTGTCCTTGACCTGCTTGCTGGAGAGTATTGTTGACAGCCGCCAAAGGGTGCCTGTTGTTTCTGCCATTACCCTGTGGACCAGAGGGCGGACCACGAATAACGGGAGCTGGCCCGGAAGGGGCTCCTGAAGGTGCACTGCCCCTAGGGCCTGAAGGAACAGATGTAGGAGATGTTTGCGCAGACGATGGCTTGGAGGAATACGATTGTGTTCGATGTGGGGGACCTTCAGCCGAGGGAGATACAAGCGCCAGTCGGTCGGGGTGAATGCCGGAGGTATCAGCGGGGGTATTAGGGTTAGAAGTGGTTTGCTGCTCTTGAAATGATTGACCTCGGGTATGTGAACGGGAGGCTGGTCCAGTGGGGCCGGGTCCAGTGGGTGCTAGACGGTCGGGGGCACCCATTGACGATTGGACATGGTTAGACGGTGAATGCTGCGGAACAGGTTGAGGCTGTACAGGGTGTGCGTTGCGGCCTCGAGAAGTGGAAGGAGGATTACGACCACGGGGACCTGATGGTACGTCGTTCGAAGGTTCAGAACGATCAGAAGCCAGTTCGTGATGTCGAGAAGGTGGCTGATCGTCTTGGTTAAGTCGTCCATGATTCATGTCAACTTCAACGTACTGCTGTGGAGGCTGGTATCGTATATCGCGGGGGAAACTGTCACCAGACCGGTGGGTTCGGTCAGAATGTTGAGCGCGAGGCCCACTGCCAAAGGAATTGTCATGTCGATCTCTGTGACGTTGATCGAAATCAGCAGATCGGCGATCGAATGGTTCTTGTCTGTCATCCGGTCTCTCTCGTCTAGCTGGATGCCGAGAATCGTGATCACCTTTTGGAGATGTCGGCCGAGAGCCTCTGTCAAGCTTATCCTCACCCTGACCCCTAATTGATATACCATTACGACTGCCTGCACCGCCACTGATCAGAGCTGCTCTTTCGGGGTTGATATTCGCAGCTTCTGTATTGGCTGACTGAGGACCCCGAGGAGGTCCCATATGATGGTCCCGCGGCGGTCGTTCTTGCTGCCGCCTTTCGTGCTCGCTCTTGTTTCGAGGCGAATCAGGTGGAGGTCTGGCTTGCCCAGGTCTTTCCGATTGCCAACCCGATGTCCCATTTTCACGGAAAGAAGGCTGGTTGCGTCGATCCTGTGGTGCATACCTTGGTCCTGCGTTACGTTCTTGACTACGAGGCCTGTCTCCGCGTTCGGCACCCGGGTCAAATCGTTCTGGACGGCGTTCGTGGGGTCGTGAATGTTGAGGAGGGTGTTCAGCTGCCTCCAGGTGATTCTCACCATATCTGCCCGATGAAGGACGGTCAAAAGACCGGCTGTCTCTTTGGTCTCTGGGACTATCGGCATGTGGAGGCGGTCTGCTCGGAATGCGGGCGTCACTGGGGCGAATGTGCCTTGGTTCCGTCCGTTCGGGGCGATGGGGCAAGTTTGGATGCGGCTGCAGCGGACCGGATGTGAGATCTGGGCGTTGGGGCATGATACGTGGTTGCTGCGTGCTAGCCTCGTTATTGCCGTCTTGCTGCCTCAACTCGCTGGACGGTATCTTTGCCGACGGAGGGGTTGATGACCCAGACAATCGTGAGTCTTGAGGGATCGTCTCAGACACCGTCTCAGAGACTGTCGGAATCTTGGCATCAGTTTCTGGTTCCACGCTTGGAACTGGCGGCAGCTCAGTGTTTTCATCCTTAATCTCACCCTGCGAACTATTAGCCGAGCCCGCGGCTGTTGGTCCGACATCCGTTATCTGCGTATTTTTGATTTCGTGCTGGTTCGCGTTGACCTCGATAACAGGCTTTTGCTCAAAATTCTGATCGCCACTATCCTGTTTGTCAGATCGGCTCTGCAAAATATAGGATAGAGAATATAGCTTACCCTGATGAAGAACTCGGCTTGGACTCACCAGCTTCAGCGTTGAGTGATTGTGCTGCCGGGCCCGGTGTTGAAGTACCCGGTGGGATAGCCGAATTCACCAAAGGCTTCTCTTGTCCCTTGCGGAATGCCTGAGGCAAAATCCAAGATTTCTGTGCTTTGTTCAAATCCGCCATCAACGAAAGTGAGGGAACCTTAATATCACCCTGATCCGATTCTCCGAGTGCAGAGATCAGTTTCTGAAGCTGCGCCCCATGGAACGTGATTGCTGGAAAGTTCTCCGCCACCGCCTTGAGAACAGATATAGCGTTGCGGATGTGCATGTATTCCGATGATGACAAGCAGCTTTGTAATGCAATGGCCAGATGTTGATGCCACTTGTAGAGTAGTCGTCGAAAGTCTTCGTAATGCAGAAAACATTCTGGCTTGCCAGTGCTGCTTACCTTCTTCGCAAACCCTGGCAAAGTTTTTTTCGATCCCCAAGCTTCTCTCTCGTACATATTTCTATCCCTATGCCACCTCGCGAGATCTCGAAGGATTTCATGTAGAAATCTCCCGAGATTGTCTGCCTCCTTGGATGTACACATGAAAATCAATGAATTCAGTCGGTTTTGGCGAAAGATCAAATCGTAGAAGCCCATCGTTCGAAAATTGCTTGTTCCCGATGTGTGTAAGAACTTGAGGAACTTGAAGCTGAACAGGGAGTCAAGAGGCGACAGTAAGATGCGTGGTAGGAAGCAATGTTCCATCAATGCTGAGTTTAACATTTCGGACTTCCCATGAGTGCCAACAAACCAGTTATTCTTCTCTTTTGAAAGCCTTGCCTTACTTTCAGCGAACGCTTTCAGGTGCTCCTTGTTCTCAGTCAATATTCTGTCAATCAGATTCGAAATCTGTTTCTTCTCTGCCTCTCGTTTTCGAGCACCAAGAGCAGTGACATCTGCCCGATTGCTTGATATGGTAGCAATTCGCTTGTGCTGGCGAGAAAGCTCATCTTCGTATGATTTACCAGGGATCGTCACATCGTAGAGAGCAAGCTGCCAAAAGGTAACATAAAAACCAAGACCGATGACATTTGAGACCTCACCTGGAAGGCTTGGTCTAATCGAATCCATGATGGGTTGCAGGACCGGATGCCATTGTTGATCATGCTCCTCCGAAATCGAGACTTCCTCGCCAGGTGGTTTTGTTGGGGATTCTGGATTGGAGTCGACTCCATTGATTTCTGCTGCTGTTGGTGTAGCTGCAGATTCCATGACCGGTTCCGTTTCTAACGCCTCCCCTTCGTCCTCGCCAGCGCCGTCAAGTTGGTCAGCCATATCAACATCACCCTGCTCCAAATCCTTTGGAATCAGGTCTTCGTTTTTCTTTTGCGCACCGTTAACGTGCATAGCCTTGTCAAACTCTGCAATTCGTCTACTAAGGTTGGGCCGGCTAATCCAGAAGGCAAGCTCGGGCTGAACTTTGTAGCTCACAATTAGCTGTGCCACATCAGGAACGGCGCTTTCATATTCTTCTGTAGAGAGGTTGCTGTGCAATAAATCTAAGTATTGCGTCAACACTCTTTGTATCTCATCGTACAGATTTCCCAGAAGTTTCAACGGAGCATTCGTGTCTTCGAGATGGAAAACAGAGGCTTGTCTCTGGATTGCAATGGCCAGTAATAGTTTACCAGCGAGATCAGACTCCTTCAACGACCTCATCAAACGCCGAGAAGTGAGCCGTGACTCATGTCTTTTGTCGAGTAATTGCAAGATGGTTTGGGACCGAAGCAACTCGCCACCGCCCATCGCCAGGAGCTGCGTGTCATTGTAAGAAGCATCAGTCACAATCCCAGCCATGAACAAAATGATTTGTTCCAGGACAATTAGATCTGTTGGATTCCCTTTGATCAGCTGGTCTGTTACGTACTGCAGGACTGGGCCTGGTCGCATGATGTTGTATCGCTTGAACATCTTGCCGGCAAAATAAGCCAAGGCAGTCAACCATCGACTAGTCACAAGACCGCTCTCTTGTACTCGACTCCGGCCAGCTCGACCAAGAGCACTGATCAAAGACCATGTGAGCACGTCATAGCCTAGATCTGTGAAATAGCGAGCACCCTCAACAAACACTTCTGCAAGATTATCGTAGACTTCGATTTGCGAAATTGCTGTATTGATGACGATGTGTGGATTTGAGTATGCTATCTTGGCGAGGGCTCGAGCCATTGGGCGCACGTTGGTTCTGCTGAGACGTTTGAGTGTGTCCCGAGTCTCTGCCTTCGCCTGGTCTGCTGCTGTTTTCATATCTGGCGTTCTAGACGTTCTTCCACCTGACCACTCTTGGTAGATTAGGTATCTCGTTTCGATTGAGAAGTTGCTGAGAAGCTCGAATACCTCGTTCACGACTCCAGGGTTGGACTTGGTCAGGCTGAGAGCAGGAACCAGAAGACGCTTGCAAAGTTCGCTCCATCTCTCAAGGTTCGATTCAGACTTGTCTTCAGCAATGCTATGCTTGCCAATTCTTGCGAACTTGACCAACAATGCTGGATCCTGACCGATCTTGATGCCTGTGAGATTCAGGAAGGTATCGCAAAGAGTGAACAGATCATCCACGGTCTGACATACAGGAATGCTATCAGACCACTCGTCCCAATAGAATCGATAGTCTAAGCTATCGGTACCACTGTCATCTCTGTCAAGTAGAGCCCATCTCAAAACCTTTCGTGGCGGAGCCTGCATGAGCCTGACTTGACCTTTGGGCAATCCGGCGATATCGGGCTCACTGGATGGCTTTTGATGTTGTAGGGTGGAATCAGAAGCAGTGGGCTTAATCGTTCCATAGATCTTGCTCAAAGAGTGATGGATAATACGATTGATGTATTCAGGCAGCTCTGGATAAAGGTCGACAATCCAGGGAAATTTGCCAAGGATGAATAACGATTCTGGGATCGCACCAATAGCGAGTAGACTTTTTAGAAGCGGGATCTTCTGGTCAGCTGGCTCTGGAAGAGCATCCTTCTTTTCTGTCGACGAACCAACTTTGTCAGGTTCAGCGTCTTTTGAGGGTGTACCTGCCCGAGTTGCGCTGTCTCTCAACCTCGGCGGCATAGGCAATGTGTCATCTACTAGAGCACCTGCCGTAAGCAAAGCATTTTTGGCTCCTTGTCCAGGTCGAGAGGCTCGTTCTCTTTCGGCCTTTTCTTTGATCTTCTCTTGTCGCAAGCCTTCCATATCTTCATCTGCTCTCCAGATATGATTGTACAGATCCTTCAAAGAGATGAACCCAACTTTGATCAGTAACGCAGAAAGGTAGATCAGGTTGTCTGGTAGAGTGTCACTCTCAGTACGTGCGACCGAAGACGAGTAGAAGCGCAGCTTGAAACCAAGCAGTTGTGCTGCATCTTCATTCCCTCCTGGTGGAGAAGTGCCAGTTTGCTTAACCCAATCTTGCATGAATTTCTCTTTCGCGCTAGGTTCGGCGCTTTCTGTAGTGGCCCTGGGCAAGGTTTTTTTAGTCTCAACATTCGCTACTTGTTCTCGTCCGATTTCGTAGAATGCTTGTAAGCCAACATCTCGAGCGCGAGCCCAGAAGAGTCGATCACGTTCCTCTGTCAGCTTCAATAAGTCTGCTCTTTGGGAGTCGTCCAGATGCCAGGCTGTAAACCCTGGCAATGCCCACTGTGGTAGTCCACCAAGCCTTGTGATGTCGTTGCGGCCGTGTCTGTGGTCTTCTTCTCGTGGCCACCATGGACTGGCACGAAGGAATTTGACAAAGAAGCGGAACTGCTTAACCAGAACAGCGCCAAAGACGTCAAGGACGACGTCAAGAGCCCTTCCAACATCCAAATCAAAAGATCCGATCATCGCTTTGACACGCTCCACTGTATCCTCGACAACCTCGGCCGTTGGTGGCTCATTCCCGCTTGTGGTGAAAAGCTCGGTCATCAACTTAGCAAACCCTTCCGATTCTTCACGTAGCAGATTGAAATTGGCCTGCCGATAAAGGAGATTCGTCGTCTTACGAACTCCCGATCTACCAAATGTAGTTCGAATGAGCCCCATTTTCTCCAAGAACTTGACGTCCAGCTCTTGACGTAGTAGCGCAGGAGGTATGCCAGAGCTCTGAACAACTGCGGAAAAGGCCTGGGGCGAAACTGGCGTCTCTGCGACAAAAACGGAAATGGTATCTAGAAACACAAGCTGAACATCCGAGAGCTTTACAGAAATCTCCGTGCCAGTAATTTTCTCAATATCAGAGGCCGACTGTCCAGGCCATGCAATGTTCTTGACGACAGCACCGGCTTCAGGAGGTGGTATGCGGCCGGACATGCCGGCAAAGAGTAGCTCTTGGAACAGCATTCCCAGTTCGACATAATCCCCATTATCTCGTAGCTCCTCACCCTTCTCCGTTACAGACAAACTTCCTGAAGAATCCCATTGTTCGCGTATTTCCTCAGTGATGTACGAATAGTCAAAAGGTCGGGGCTCTGCGATGATATCAGAACTAGGTGGAATGGCTGCATCCATCTTTGTAATCGTACTTAGCACGCCATTCGATTGATGGGTCGGCTGTGCATCGGTTGGCCTTTGTACAGGAGATGTAGGCTTTGAGACTGGTGTATTCATGGAGTTTCTGTTGGTGGTAGGACTTTGAGGAATTACAGAACCACGACCTCCACGACTAGGTCTTCGACCGCCCCGGCCCCGGTTCTCTGACGGGTCGCGGCCATAGTTCGAAGGCTGTCCCTGGTTGTGATGAGCAAGGTGCAGGTTTCCTGGTCTGTGAGGGGAGGGTCGTTGTCCATCGTGCGAGTTATCCCCAGACCAGGTCCGATCACCTCGCTTTCGTTTACCTCCCCCAGCTGGAGCCATAGCTCCCTGGCGTGGGAAGTTTGGCCCTTGAGAAGAGCGACAGCGAAGGTAGTCTCGGCGAAGTCATTAGGAGGACTATCAGTTTTGGAGTGTCTCAGAAGTCAAGCTGAAGTAGGATTGGGAGCTGAACTAACCAGTTTCAATGGCAGTTCATACTGGAGATGAATTGAGCAGATAATATCCAAGCCACTTTACTGCCACATTGCACAGAGTATCTTAGTTGAGTTTGCAAGCCTACGATTCACCTGGCTGCCGCTTTGAGCTGCACTGCAGACTAAATGTCATATCCTAACGTTGCCCGCAACCGTACTCTTGGCAACTAACTGTGCTAACTACAAACGGAAATGGAGGTGTCATTACGTGATTACCCAACAATACTTTGCCATCCACATCATCCGCTACCAACAGTTTTGTGGCTATTTCGAGCTTCTATTACTTGTTCACAGTTCTTCCAGTATCCAGAGTCCCAAAATGGCTCCCAAGGTCTTCCTGTAAGTTGCCATTGCCTTTGAACCAATGTCCAGACGAGTAGCTGATTACTTCTAGCACTGGCGCAACAGGCTACATTGGAGGGGATGCCCTCTTTGCACTTGTCGAAGCACATCCAGACTGGGAATATACCTGCTTAGTTCGAAACGCCGACAAAGGGGCCAAGGTTGCTGCTGCTTATCCCACAGTCAGACTCGTTTACGGGACCCTTGACTCGACAGATTTGCTTGAAGAGGAGGCAGGAAAGGCGGATATCGTATACCGTACTGAGCTTGGCATCACACTCTATGAGCCATTATACAGCTGATGTGGGTCCACAGATACTGCGGATAGTAGTGATCATGTTGCTTCTGCTGAAGCATTTGGGAAGGCAGCCGCTAAGCGGGCTCCTTCAAGCCCTCTTTTCTATATCCACACTGGTGGCACAGGATTGTTGGGGTGGGAAACCACAGAGAAGGACGCGTATGGCACGGAGCTACCCAGAATTTATAACGACTGGGATGATATCAAAGAAGTGACCTCGATCCCTGATTTCGCTTCGCACCGTCACGTTGACAAGATTGTCCTACGCATGAGCTCAACCAACCCTCAGGCAGTCAAGACTGCCATTGTTTGCCCGCCTTGCATTCATGGTCCGGGAAGAGGTCCAGACAATCAGCGTTCAATTCAGGTTTATGAAGCAGCGAAAGCCATTCTGAAGAGAAAGCAGGCATTTCTGCCCTTGAAGGGGGACAATGTTTGGCATGAAGTCAACGTACACGACCTCTCTGACGTGTTCAAGCTACTTGGGGAAGCAGCGGCAGCTGGAGGTGGTGAAGCAACTTGGAACGAAGATGGCTACTATTTCGCAGAGCATGGTGAATTTGTCTGGAAAGATATCTTTCAAAGCATCGCGAAGATTGCGAAGCAAAAGGGCTTGATTGAATCAGACGAGACGCTTAGCCTTCCTGCCGACGAGTTGACCAAATTGCATCCGGCTGGCCTATACCTCTGGGGCTCAAACTCACGAGGGAAAGCAATCAGAGCAAGGAAATTGCTGGGATGGGAATGTCGTGGAAAATCTCTCAAAGAAGATCTTTCCGAAATCGTTGAGAGAGAGGCTAGAGCACTCGGATTGATCGAGGGTCATGCCGCCAAAGTTACTAAATAAGTGCAACCAGAAACGGAATGGTTTCACTTCTGCTACAGAACAACAGACATCGCAGTATGCAGTACCCGAATTCCCTAGTCCCATGGTGGTTCGCTTAATTGTCCCAAAGGATATCTCACAATTGAAGGTGAGGCGGCTGGAAGATACATGGCGACCTTGGCAATGTACAGTGTGCGCCGAGTCCCTAAAAAGTCCTTTCCCATGCCAAGCAACATGTCTCTTGTGCCATCCACATGGGAATGGTAAGAATGCCTAGGTGATTTCACATTGCTGACCTAGACAGTGGAATGTTTCAAAAGCTCTGTTATGCGGCCATAGTCCACATAGCCATTTGACTGTCCATGCCATCCGGAATTGATCAAAGCTCGCTGCTGTGCACATTGGCTCTGCTCTTTCATGCTACTACATGAATCGTGCAATATCACTAATCAGTGGACAAAGGCAGCCCATAATGCATGAAGAAAGGCAGCTCCTATATATCACGAGTTTGCACCAAGCTTACGCCTTGAAAGAGCGCCTGAGTGTGGAGTAGATGCTGCGGAACACTCATTGGTTCTAGGGACTCTTGCAACCTGCAAGGACACTCAGTGTCATCTTCATTGCCTATTCCCCATGATCGAGGAGCCAGTTCATGCCTAACACACATCCTGTCAATCGTCCCATCACATGGGATCTGGTGAACAAGGGCAAGAGCTGGATGAGTATTCTTGGAGTCATGAAAAATCCATGCTCTTTGGTGAATGCAGATTGGCAAGATATGATTTCATCACAGATGACGGAAACTTTGTCCTCTGTGCCAGCCTTACTGTTGTTTTCCGTAAGCTGTAAGGATATGCTAAAAGATGGATTGGGCAATTCCTTGCCAGCCAGCCAGCATTAGCATCCTGCTACCGATGGGGAGAAGGTGTGGAGACGTCATTTACTGGTTTTCCTGAGGATATACAGACACATGGTGGATCCTTCCCACCAATCATGGATCCCTACATCCCTGAATAGTGTACTAGACCATACATAATACTAGAACAGTCTTAGTGGAGTCATTGTCCGTATCTGCAGGCGTGTCTAACATTAGAGGTGTGGGGTCCTCACCTTTGAACTCCTGAACTCTTTCTCTGCTTTTCACGCAATTGTCACGCAATTGTGAATATTGCATATTCTGCAGGACGTGCCAGACCTTCCATCGAGTAAGACTCGACATCATTCTGCAGGATCCACAACTCATCTTGCATCTTTTCGTGAGCTGCCTATTCCACAGCAGCCGCCCAAGCAGCACCCCGAAGTTCATCTTGAGAAGCTTTTCACACCATCATACTGAAGATGGAGAACTCAGAAGTCTTGATAAAGGGCAGCTGTGCCTGTGGCAGAATTCAGTACACAGGGACCGCTATGCCTGATGAAATGAGCAGTTGCCATTGTCATACGTGTCGAAAACTTGGAGGAGGTCCATTCCTGACATTCGCAAGTGTGCCAACAGCGTCGATCCACTGGCTGAGAGCACCTGATCTGTGGACCCATAGTGATATTGCGGAAAGGGGCTTTTGCTCAAGCTGCGGATCGACGCTCTCAATGCAATACTACTGTCAAAGTGATCGCGTTGCGGTGACGGCAAGTTCTATCGATGACAGTAGGCTCCCCCTTCGGAAGGCAAGTGAGCATATCTTTCTGAAGGAGAAGGCTTCTTGGGTGGATCTTCCGGATGATGGGGCGGACAGATTTGAAGGGATGCCTCCGGAGTTCGAAGTTATGCTGAATCAGTGGTTGAAAGAGAGGTCTGCAGCAAGGTAGACAACATGTATTGCTTGCAAGTCACTGTCACTGAGTGTTCGTTGTATCTCGTGTGTTTGCTATTACGATAAATTCCTGTGGCTAAGTCTAATGCACAAAATATTTCATCCACCTGCCTCCTTCACTCTATACTCACTTTACCGTCATTTTCTCGACGCCACCCTCGCTGCCAGCGGGTTTTCATCTTCAATCACAACCCGTTCTACGTAAGTTACAGCTGATGATAGTCCCCTGGTTATCTTCCGGAGGTATACTTTATCTCTGAGACTGGCCCGCTCCCTAACCAGAACTCTACACAGTCAATATGGCATGATCGGTTCCTCTCCCAGCGGCTCATTCGTTTCAGGTAACATGGCTGACAATAAGAATCCTGCTATTACAACACGTCCGCGACTTCTATCAGACATTCTTGAGAATCCGTTGTCTGAATCCACTATACCAGAAGACTACACCATGCACCGATCTCCTGTTTCTCCCGCTCCGCCGGTTTCGAGCCGTCTCTATGGAGGCCAAGGTGGCTTGCCACAACCCTACCTTAGTCCATATCAGCAGTCCAGAGCGAGTCAAAACCACGCCGTTGCTTCTGCACCTGACCCGGGAATCATCGGTCAGCCTCTCCAGCGAACTTCCTCTAGCACCCTCTTGAGCCAGGGCACTCGCCTTCAGCCTCTTACGCCTGTTAACCCACCAATTTCCCATCGCTACCATGAGAATCGTCGATCTATGCCTAGTCCGCTTCCAGCCTTTACTACCTCACCTGGAGTTTCGGATGCAGGCTCTCCATCACATTCACGATTTCCGTCGCTTGAACGATCATTCAGTCAGGCTTCATTGAATGCTCCCCGATACCCTTCTCACCCACGTACACCAACACCATCTTCTAACAGAGCGAAAGCTAAAATCAGCGATGTACCTCGATCATCATCCCTGCCTAGCAGCCCAAAACATCGCCGTCCCACTCCTCATCCACACGGCAAACCCTCGGTGAAGCATCTCACTTGTTTCTGGTGGAAGGTAAAGGGTGATTGTCGCTTTTCAGAAGATGATTGTCTTTATGCTCATCGTGAGACTGGCCTGCTTGCGGATGCACCTCGCCAAGTCACACCAGGAGGTGAGCAAGTTCTGTCTCGTCCTGTGCATACACTGATAGCCGGACTTCTTTCCTAGAACCAGCTAAAGCAGGTCGCCACCTCGAAAAAGCCCTCTCCAATCTTCGTACCAAGCGCAACCCTTCTTCGTCCTCTCTTAACACTTCTATGGTTGCCAACCCATCTACCCCGGAGAGCCAAGGCACATCTAGCCTGACCACTACGCCCGTGGATGCAGAGACCTTCCAGGAGCGGGTTTCTTCTCTTCAGTCGGACAACACCTTTCTTCGCAATCTTGTCGAGCAAAGCAGCAAGGAGAAGTCTGTTCTCATGACTACCATCGAGGGTTTGCAGAAGGAGAATGCAAGTGCGTCTTCCATGAGCCTGGTCTCTTTTGATTAAGTCTGAATAATTAGCTGACATGTTTCACAGATTTGAACAAAGACGTCGAATATCTCAAAGATGTTGTGGACCAGTTGCAGCAGCAAAAACGCCAGTTCTCCGGAAGCATGCTCTTCAGCGACGTCGCTCCAGAAAGGATGGATAACCAGCAGCGTCAAGCTAGTGGCTGACCAAGATGCACACATGAATGAGATCGTACAACTGTAATCATCAGTGCATGAGGGCACACAGCACTAGATCAGAAGAAATGGCACGGTGATCCACGTTTGGCTATTGTGTTGGCTAATGCTACTGGAAGAGACCGTCAGGGAGACGTGCCTTCAAGCAACCTGGGCGGCATTGTGATGACATGCGTCAGAGTGCTTGCGAGGCTCAAGGCATGCTTGAGGAGGAGTCAGTTTGGTCGAAATTGCTTGTTCACTGGTGCTGACCACACAATCGCATTTGCATCAACAGGCATGGAGAAGGATGAGCTCTGTACCTACCGTACAAGGTGTAATTCCATACCCTTCACACAGTAGCTGAAGATTGCTACCACGTTTAGCTCCAATCCACAGTCGTCTTTTCAAAGCTCGCATGTAGAAGGTCATACGCAGTGGACATGGGAAATGCCTGTGCTGCAGTGGTGCCATCGTGTGTGACAGCAGAATCAAGACTCTGCCAGGTCTGCAAAAGTGAAGCTATATTGTAGCCTCACGATCAGCCTTGTTTATGCTCTGCTCAAACATGTCACCAGCTTGCCAGAGCAACTGATCAATGCCAGTGTTACACCAACTAGATCCGACTTCCTTTCATAGCCAAGGACTTGTCGAACTATGTGAGTGCTCATTGGTTGGAATTTCTATGTGAAGCTCCTGCGTTTCGCCTGCATTTGATTGGTCAATTTCTCCTACAATTTCGCTTCTAATTTCGTTGTACCGTACAGCTAATTTGTACGCATATCTATGTGCGCTACCCCCTTTGATTAGATAGAACAACTTGCTTTCTACCCAGTACGTATCTCCTGCAGATTGTCACACAGAGACTTTACCAGGACAGGCCACCGTTTGACTCACATTTGCCGGATTTGTTCTAAGGCTGTCTGTGCTCTCTGCCTTGTCCCTCAGCCTCATCCTCGACCTATTTAAATGCTGTATCTCTTCTCGATCGTCTACCTGGCTTAGCTCCCCCCACATGCATCTATTCTGTCATATCTGTTCAGTATCGTCCTCTGAATAAAAAGAACTAAATCCTATGGAAAGTAGCAAAAGTGTGGAATCGTCTTCAACCCTCATGTGGACCGGATGTCACGTGATATATATAGCGCTGCAACAAACGCTACTGGATTCTGCGCGTCTTCGATGAATTGCTGGTTATCAAACGGTGGCGTATTGTGCGACGTTTTGAATGCGTTTTATCACAGATTTGTTACGCGTTTCGCCTCGAATTAACATGTATTTTTAGTATTGACGTTTCGCGCTATTTCGCATGGATTGGCAGTTTGATATGGCAATTTGGTATGTATAAATAGGCTCTCCTTGCGCGGTCAATTAGAGAGAACAACTTGCTATTCAGATTCTATTCTCCTGATTAGTCAGCAACGTTCGACACCTCACTGTTCATGAACCAAATCCTACAGAAAATAGCACAAAGCCGGTATCATCTTCAGCCCTCCTGGTTCATGAATCAAATCCTACAGAAAATAGCAAAAGGCCAGTATCATTTTCAACCCGCAACAAGTGCTTTTCTCTGTTCATTAACTTGGGAGATTATGTTGATCATGTGCTTCGATCAACTCATGGACTCCCTGCTGCTATTGTATTGACAGCACTACCAATTATAGGTTTCGCAATCTGGATTTCCACTGACCTCCGGAAGTGTGGACAAATCAGGCTAACTTCAGTCGCTATTGGAGGAAGACTTACCCAAGTTCAGGCGAAGGTGATTGATGTTATGTGCTCTATAATATTCTCACCTGCTCTCGTCTTCTGCTTAAACTGGTACTGGTTCGCTACTGCTCGGGTTACGATCATCAACGAACGAACATCCGGCGGAGTGCCTCTGGCAACATTAGTGGAGGCCAGCAAGACGGATTGTGGGTCGTATAACCTGAACAAAATTTTCAAACTGGTTCGAAGGGAAAATCCTAAGACATATCTCTTTGCGTTGCTGGTCCTCCTGTCTGCGGTCATACTCTCGGCTTTCTCCAATGTCATTGCGTATGAGGCTTACAGCACGGCTATTGGAGGCTCCTCAGCAAAACTTCAAGCGCTTAATGACTTCGGACGAACTCTATCCATGGGGGGAGAACAAGACTACCCTTATAATTTCACCAACGAGGACCTATCGAGGTTTGGCAGCCAAGTCGTTGGAGTGTTGACCGAAATTGCGTATCATAATGCAACCGACAAATTAGAGCGGGATGATTACATTGGGATCAATGCAACGCAAGCATCCATGAATGCGCTCCCATCCAATATTACCGGTCTACATGATGTTCCCGGTTATCGATTATCAATCGGTTGTCAGGCTCAACCCCTAGATAGATTGACTGTTGTTGCTATGGGTAGGTATAAAGTCGCAATAAACGCAATCTTTGACATTGGTAACAATAGCCCAATGATCTACCAAGCTCAATATCCTGGCCAAATGGAAGTTCTTACCAATGCATACAACGAACAGTACACCTTTGCCGGTTTCACTGTGGATGGAACCCAGATCTACCTTGGAAACCTCGCCAGTTCTCCTTCGTTCAGAAACCCTGAGCCGTCCCCATACGGTGACATCACTTACAAGACGTATGACATGACAAGGAATGGATTTACTGGAACAAAGACCAACATGTCTAGCTGGGGCTTGCGGTGCAATGTGACCCGTCAGACCGGTCTACATAATTTTTCAAGGCGGGCAGATCTATCCTGGAAGATCACGGCTAGCACCTGGTCCGACTCGAAAGAGATTGCACCCATGCTCATTGAGGACTGGCAGGCGGCATTGAACTTTCATGCACTGACAGCTGCTGGCTTTGAGCCAGGTTTGGCACCGGCTCTGTCCTCAAGCGCGTGGTCCTGCCTTACATATTTGACCGCAGACGGAATTTGCAGTACGGGTTTGAGAATGGATTATCGGGTGAATGCGTTGAATTTCCTCTATGCTAGCTGAGAAATAGAGCGGATTGCTTACGAGATAAAAAGTGCTGTACCACCACAAGGCGACAACGGCTCTTCTTCTTTCTTCCAGGTACAAGCCGTGCCATCTGCCCTGCGATATCGCATAACCTACGTGCCGCTCATTCTTCTTGTTGGACTGCTCAGTGTCCAGTTCGCAGCATTGATATGCCTTGGTCTGGCGGCTTCTAGCCGGCGGGCTATGAGCTTCCGGACATGGAGAGATGTCAATGCTCTCCGCTTGTTGGTCGATAGCGTGGATGGACTCCGTGATGAGCCCGCACTGAGAGATCTTTACAACCTTGGTAACGAGGACATGGAGAAGAGGGCGAAGAAAGTTCGCGTCCAGTATTTAGAGAGATTTATAGACCCGAAGATGGCGGTTAAGCTGTCCGCCTAGGATTTGTGGGCCTGAATTTCTATCTTAGGAATTAGGGTTAGGTCTTTACGCGTGGTGTTGCAGTTGGCTGAATCAATATCAACTTTCATGCTACCAAAAGCCCCTTTGTAGGTCATTATTCCTGAGGATTTCTGATCTAGGGGTCTTAAAATCTTCCTTTAAATCTCTTTGTTAGATGATCGTTTTCATAGAATCTGAAATCTGAAATCTTATTCAACTTTTTTTTTTCTTGTTGTTTTCCATACAGTCAATAATTGGGATATTGACAAGTCTGGCGGACTCAACACGATAATTGTCATGGGTTTTGTAAGCAGAATGACAAAGATACGTGTGGAAGCGAGGCCACTATGACAGGGAGTAGAATGGGGGGAGAACGGTTCGACACTGCCCATATTGTATTCGAACTAATCCTTAAGAAGTCTCGTCGCACTCAGCGGAACCCCGGTGGTCTTGGCTGGTCCTGTAAGAGCGCAATCATGTTAGATCCTGACAAACATAAAAGCGCAAAAAAGTCTTTCACAGTGGCTAAGTCAAAAGGTCCAATGCCGGATCACAGACAATATTTTCTCGAGCCAGATGATTATCAGGAATGAGCAAGCTTGTTCTGCAGATTCTTGCTGCATTTCAATAAGGTGCCATCTAGAAGGCAGCATCAGTATTATGACTGTTTTCTATAAAATGAAGCGGTCTCCTCTTGCAAAGACATAATGCCTCAATACCGCATCTTGATTTCTCTTCATCCTCTTCACGTGATTTTCATGCCATGCACTATGTCTTTCTCCCTGTGTGCTCCTTTTTTTATAGCCATTGGATGTGGCTTGTGCGACGAGCTTTGTGACACAGGCTGCTCATCTGGACATCGTAACAACTGTGCAAAGATGTGGAGGCTTGATAAGAATGCCACGCAGTAAAAAAACCGAGGATATCTTTAGTGCAGTCATGTAATGATAAAGCCCTTACTACGGTATGGCTCTGGTGGAAAGAAGGAAGGAGAAGGGAAGAACAAGGGGGTGACCTCTTTTGAGCTAATTAGTGACAGTATTGCTTACCCGTGCCCCCCAGATTTACTCCTTTTAGGTGCCAAGCCACTTTACGCGTTTTGTGAGGCAGAAACTTAACGCGTCTTTTTACCCAAAACGTGTCTATCTTCGTCCAGCCAAAATACCTTGGGAATTTTGATAGTACTTTCACATCTACACTCTGAAAAGGAGCTTGCTTTGATGCCATGGTAGAAGCAGAGTCCTCAACTGCTGCTGCTCGCAAGGCACTGAAAGCCCATACAAATGGTGCCACACCAGATTATGAGCTTCCATGGTATGCCTCCTTTATTACTGCCTAGAGGTGACACTGCTAAGTCTTCAGGGTGGAAAAGTATCGTCCAGTCTTCCTTGACGACATCGTAGGCAATACAGAGACGGTTGAACGGTTGAAGATCATCGCCAAGGATGGCAATATGCCTCATGTCATTATCTCGGGAATGCCTGGGATTGGGAAGACTACATCCGTTCTCTGTTTGGCAAGGCAGTTGCTTGGTGATGCATACAAGGAGGCTGTTCTTGAACTGAATGCAAGTGACGAACGAGGTAATATTGGTTGGTCTTGCATTGTTGGCTTTGCCTATTGACGGTAAAATAGGTATCGATGTCGTCCGCAATAGAATCAAAGGCTTTGCACAGAAGAAGGTTACTCTTCCACCAGGGAGACACAAGATTGTGATCCTTGACGAGGCTGACAGCATGACATCTGGTGCACAACAAGCTCTTCGACGTACCATGGAAATCTATTCGAACACGACTCGCTTTGCATTCGCCTGCAATCAATCTAATAAAATCATCGAACCTCTACAATCGCGCTGCGCCATTCTCCGCTATGCACGCCTGACAGATGCGCAAGTTGTGCATCGGTTGATGCAGATCATTGAGGCTGAAAAGGTGGAGCATTCGGAGGATGGGTTGGCGGCATTGGTCTTCAGCGCAGAAGGTGATATGCGACAGGCCATCAACAACCTGCAGAGTACCTGGGCTGGTTTTGGATTCGTGAGCGGAGATAACGTCTTCCGCGTTGTCGACAGTCCACACCCTGTCAAGGTGCAAGCAATGATCAAGTCTTGCTGGGAAGGGAAAGTCGATACTGCTTTGGATACGCTGAAAGAACTCTGGTAAGTGACCTACGCCAACTCTCTTTCACATGTGGTAACATGTGAAAAGGGACCTAGGGTACTCATCACACGACATTATCAGCACTATGTTTCGAGTCACCAAGACCATTCCCACATTGTCGGAGCACTCCAAACTGGAGTTTATCAAAGAGATCGGATTTACGCACATGCGCGTCCTGGAAGGGGTACAGAGTTTTCTCCAACTGAGCGGTTGCATCGCAAAGCTTTGCAAGATCAACATGAAACCACAACTATTCTCACCTCCGGAATGACGGTTTGCATCCGCCACGATGCTCAAACTCTGGACTACTACTGAGTGCTACCTACTAACTAAGAAGACATTGCCAACTTTGTGCTGGAACCTATTCCGTGGTCATATTTTGATAGCCAGGGAGCCATGCATGATGCGAAGTGGCTATCACCGTTTGTGACGCGTCACGATGATCTAGAATCTAGAAAGTTAGTACATTTTGTGCAGCCTTTCTCCGTAATGCGGGGTGCCTAGTTCAGCCATCTCGTAACCTTTGCGGGGCAGAACAAGTACGACCGACAACTCCAGTCTGGAGTCGTCATGTACTGTGTCAATATTCTTCAGCCTGGCACTACGGAAGCTGGAACCACGGGAATCCACAAGGCGTCAAGGGTTCACTTCAGGCGCTATCAAGAAAATTGTATCGGCTTCAGAGTTGGTGACGCGTCACCAAACCCTTTCATAGGACAACAGATGGCCTGCAACTTGATCCTTTCGCAGAAGTCCGCAATCTGCTGACAGCAATGGTCCAAATCACACAGCCTGGTTGTACGAAGGACATATGGTGAAATGGACTACTTGAAAAGCTAAATAGAGTTGTACTTTCCACACATTGCGAAAGGCTGAGTTTGATTCTTCCTGCGTACTTCATTTCTTGTAACCTTTCCTGTTGTACGCCATGAGATCCATCCAGTTATTCTTGACCATAACGGCCTTGCTGTTGGGGCAGGTCAGTGCAGGAAATTGGGGGAGTTGTGTTGTATGCCTTGCTTTGTCCCCTTCGCACAGATTGTTATCATCTAATCCAAGACCTGGCATTTAGGACGACTGCATTGATAATCTCAACATTCCCAATTGCGACAGAGACGACTCCTTCTATGGTTGGGACTGTGTCTGCACTGATCAGAGTGCCCTCGACTCTGTCAACAACTGCATCAGCTCGTCATGTTCACTGTCGGATCAAAACTGTACTTCGGCTCTGTGACTTAGACCCAAACAAGCCCACACTAACCTTTTCAGCTATCTTCGGAAACATAGCCCAGGCCTGCGCGAATAGAGGCAATCCTATCACCGCCGCTCCAGCTGAAGCTACCTTTTCTGCAACCTCAGGAGGAACTCTCTTCGCTAGCGGCTGGGGCTCTGAATACAGCGATTGTACCTCGGATAGATCACGAGGATTTGGCAGAGGAGGATTTGGTGGAGAAGGAATTGGTAAAGGTCATTGCCATGGATGGGCGGGTCACTGTCCATGGACGACCTTCACGGGAAATTGGGGTCCGAGCTGGCTTGTCAGTTGGTCAGGATTCCATGGCGACGACAACTGTTCAACCATAACAGACTCGTCTCTGACAGCAGCAACGTCGCCATCGAGGGTGTCGGCTACCATCACGGCGTCTCCCAGCCTGTCTTTGGGGGCGACAGTGACCACGACGGTCAACGGACAAACCTTGACTGGAACGATCTTTAGTGCTCAGGCAAACGCGGAATCGGCGACTACTGGCACGGCAGCTGTTGCGCAGGAGACTGGACAGGCTAGCAGACATCAGCCATTGGGTGCCTTTGGAGCAATGGTGATCTGGCTCGTGACTGCTATCTGTATGCTCTAAAGCCAGTATAGGGTCATGGTACCAATATCTCACCTTACGTTGCTCAGCAGCACAGTGTTCTTCAGATGTACATTCTCCACTGTTGGATCAGTCGAGGCAGCCCAATGCCTCCTTCCAACCGTGCCGTGGTTCGTTCTTCCTGCCACTGAATACCTGGTAACTTAGTATTGTCCCTTCCTCCCATACGGCCGTCCACCCACCATGAGATCCCATTTCCTCCGATCTAGAGCCGTCCAGTCTCTATTGCATTTGACGTCTGCTTTTTTTCCCTCGTCTGACCTGAATTAAGATGATTCGCGTGATTGGGCTGGGACTTGCTGCGTGCTTCTGGCCGTTTGTGTCGGGTCAGGTTGGTGTCTCTGATTGCGCGGTAGGTAACAATCCCCGACGATGTTCGAAGTAAATCTGCCACTCTCATGTACACTGGCTTGCTCCCTTCACGAACCTCCACCTTCACAGCTTCAAGTCCTCGTTCCGTTCATCCGCTCACCCTTCTTCGGCAGCTCCCCTGCGTAGCAGATGTCACTGGCACGACTTGCGCCCCTACACAATGGTCCTGTCTCTGTCCGAGCTCGATCTACATTGATCGGCTTAATGCCTGTGTCTATCAGGCCTGTGCCGCGGCCGATAGCCAGCAAGGTCAGCTCGCTGGATCAGCGTTCATCTATTCATCCAGGCATGCAAGCTCACTTATCATAGCGACCTTTGGCGCCATAGCAAACATCTGCCAGATCTATGGCTTACCCCCCACAGCAAGCCCTGAAGCAAATGCTGCCTCTACCATGGACCTGGCTGGGACCGTTTCCATTGTCGGCGTCTCCACGACATCTACGGCGCCTACTGCGTCGATTGCTCCAACCAGCAATGTGGCCCCTCCGACCGACACGGCCATACCTCCTGCCCTCATTAGTTCTACCAGCAGTGTGGCTGTTCCGACTGAGTCGGATACATCTCCTCCACCCAGCGCCACCTCAGCGTCGGCCAACAATCCAACCGGTACAGAAAGTACTCGAAACAGTGTACCAGCAAGCAGCATCCCCATTCAAGTACCGGAGAGTACGGAGGTGGCCTCATCTACCGAAAGCAGCACTGCTGCCGCAACATCTTCCGGATCAGCCACCTTGATCAGCTTCAACGAGTACGCAGCTTGTGGAGGTGCTCTCTTGGTTGGTTTGTTGGTGGAACATGTCTGAAGACCAAAGCGAGCTTGTCTCGCGACTGACGCATCTTACTGATAGTATAATTTAACATGCCAGGGCCGCACAGCTAGTTGACAGAATGATACAAGCAAATTTCCCAATGGTGACATTGATAGCCGTGTGATTTGAAACTAGCATTGCTGGCATGGTCATGGTTTCAGCCACCATCTCTTTTTGGAAATTGCAGAGAAAACCCTCCGCCTTCCATAGGGCTGGTATCAAGCTTCAGTACGGAGTACTGCTCCCAGTCCATGGATGCCAATGTTCTTCCACCAACATTCAACCGATTCCGAGGCCTTGAAGTTATGTCACGGTGGCTACGGTCAATCTGTCCAGTGACAAGGATTCTTTTATCTTTTGCCAGCACACCCACCCACCAGGTCTTCTCCCCCGAGACAGCGCCTGACTATGATGCAGAAAAGCGATGGACATCACTGCAGGGTGTTTGAGGCGAGATCCTGATCTTCATTCTGTCCAATCGCAGCGATAGGATTGCAGTTTCAGCCGATCAATGCTGCCCGAATCCATAAAATATTGCCCTGCATTGCTGAAGCCCAACGCACGGCCCAGATCTGCAGACGAGATCGCCATCCCAGCATCACCAGTGCTTATGGAAGCCGTGGAGATACACTTGGTGAGATGCTTTTGTGACGGATGGTGTGTCGAGGATGAGAGCAGGAATTGGGGAGTAGATAGGGCTAAGTGGTGTGATTGTATTGAACTATTTATTGAATGCTCCCATCCTGGTCCCGGAACGTTGGGTTGGGCCATGACTCGCCTGACTTGACCGAGATCCGGGACTGGGCGAATCCTGATCAATAATACTCCGTATACGAGAAGCTACTTATTTCATAAGACATCTTTCCTTTCACCCAGAGTTTAAATCTTCCCGCCTCCATAAGGATTCTACTTATCTCGGCCAGAGCAATCATCAGGCATACTAGTAGTAATAATGCGCCCATGAAAAGCGCGCTCTCAAGGGGTCCAAGGGGAGCATGAAGCTAAAGTCGCCTAAATTGCCGCTGACGGCCGCTGAACTGGATTTTACTCTTCCCTCTCCCTCTCCCTCTCCCTCCTCCTCCCCCTCTCCCTCCCCCAGGCCCTGCCCTGGGCAATCTCCAATCATTACGACTCCGCCGCTCCTCTCGACACATTGTTCAATACAGCATTTACCACGGCCTCCTCCTTGCGGCAGACAACACAACTACTGTCAGCGCGGGCGGCTGAAAAGAGACCTCAGAGGGACGTCGACATTGATCCGCAGGCAGGGCAATCCCACTCCATTGCTCATGACCTTTTCTTGCAATCTCCCGAACCAGTGGTCCTACCACGGTTTCCTGACCGACATCCACTTCTGCATCGAAGATCGCTCCTCAAACCTTTCTCTCGACAGCTACCATCTCAAAGGGCACCCTTCAAGACTCTTAGACCATCCCCCTCTCGACTATTAAATCCAATCAACCACGTTCCAAGACAAGCTGCAGTCCCTATCACTAGAAGTCCCATAGCGGGGACCTTCCCTGAAGCCGGAGCAGCTCTTCTTACTCTTCCCGAACAACGCCGGTCTCGTCGTCAATCTCCTCATAGTCCTCTCTTCGAGCACTCTCCCGTTGGCGGAAGTGAAAGTGGACGGACCAGTATCGGTCTCCCGCCCGGGCAGCGACTGAGTGGGACACTTGAGTTTGACGGTGGTGGTGCAGCAGCAGAGATGTCGGATCTGGAGAAACAGACGCAGGACCATCGACCACCAGATCCGTCCAGGATGGGAACGACCACACCCACCTCGAAATACAACACGCACGATCGGGATCTCGAAGCCAACATACCGCAGAGTCAGTCGATACTAGGTCAGAAGTATGGTATGGGAAAGGATGATCAACCAAACCATCCTCCACGGCATACGAAATCAGAGGTTTCTCTGAGAAGACCATACTCGATCAAGAGCGAAGTGCCAGAATCGCGGGCTGGGGCAGAGGATGCTGTGGATGATCAAGGCAGTGTTGCCGAGGAGCTGGCATGGGGCCCATCACATCCATGCTTTCCACACCTAAACTCACACGTACCACTCAACTCGCCCGAGTTTACCAGCACAAGGATCATTCGTATAAAGAGAGACTGGATGGTACGAGGTGACCTTGCTCCCACCTATTCCAACCTCTATCCTGAAATCTTGGACCCCTTATTACCCGAACACCAATTCCGCAACATTATACAGAAGGTGAACCAGACGCTTGTTCTGGCCTACGATCCTTTCAGCAGCAGAAACTTGGTTGATGTTGTGATGGGTGTGCTGACTGGATGGCTCTGGGACGATCTCGGGTTTGGCGGTGTCAAGAAACGGCTACGCGATTTGGAGCAATGGCTGGCTGATTGGAATCGTGATGTCGGGATGGGGGAGCGTGTCAAGATCATACCGTTGAGGAGGACAGGGTATATGAGCTTGGATATTCAGATCCCAGATCCTCAGATCAGGATTGTGAATGATGGTCCGGGGCCTGAGGAGGAGGACGAGGACGAGGCGGTGGAGGCGGAGGAGGAGGCGGTGCCTCCAGGGTCAATGAGCGAGAGTGAGAAGGCTGTAAGAGTGGAAGGCTGACTGGTAGACGAAAGGAAGACATTCGAGGTGTTCTGTCTGTGTTTATCCAGCGATGGTGTTGTTTTGGAAGTTCTGGTCTAATTAGATACCCGCCACACTGGCAATCTCTACGGTCTCTTCAAGGGAGTTCCTGCCTTGACACAATCTACCTGTTGATACTATGTTTCCCAGCAATGTGCGCTTCCCATCCATGCCAGAACAAGGACCAAGCGGATGGCAAGACGCTTATTGATCATCTTATGTGCCAGGTTGGATGCAACCAGTACTTACACAGGCTTCTTATGACCAGCTGTCTGGGACTCACAGCTCCAACCTTCGCGATATTCACCTGGCTCAAAGTGTGATGATGGGCTATTTTCCATCGATGCCAGCTGATACCTGTCATACTAATTAGACACACCTTCGATGACACGGTTGATGCTGGATATGAACATCCCGCTGCACGCTCTTTGCTTCTAGGTTGTACAAGGTTGATTTGTTAGTCTTCGGGTTGACATGCTACATTTCAACCCACCCTGTCTCCTTGCAAGACGATAGGATGGTTCTCTCAACTCTTGGTCAATCTTTCTCGTTCCATTCCTCTCCTGAGTCCTTCATCTCGTCTCGGTTGCAAGACCTGGCGATATCAGACCCGGAACAACTTCCCTCGACTACGGGGAAGAAGAACATTGTTGTTGCTTCTATATTGAACAGAAAGGTACATATTGTATCATCATATCAATTGTGTAAGGATATACTGGAGGCTTCTTCCTCTGCATCATCCAGCAATCTCACTCCCAGCACTATTACTGCAACGGCCGCTGGTATCTTCAGTCAAGATGTCAACCCTCGATCTCTGGATGCCGACATCCTGGCTGCAGGTCCGGCCTACCACCAGCTCATGTCGGACTTCTTCCCTCCGCCCAATATCCTTCTTGAGGACGGCACAACCCACGCTGTGCACAAAAGAACCTGGGCTGACCAACTTTCCACCTTCGCATGTGACAGTACGCCCCAGATTCGCCAGATTACGGAGAAACACATCTCCTCGCTACTACATCCGGCCACTGGTGGTGCCGATGGCAAGGTCGACCTCTACGAGACGCTCAAATCGCTCGCCTGGGAAATTCTACTGAGCGTTTTCCTGGACTTATCACCATCATCCTCACCAGAAGAGTTCTCCCAGGTAGAAAGCCTACAAGAAACTCTGCTCCGTGGCCAATTCTCCCTCTTTCCTGTTTCGATCAACACCCGGCTCTGGCAGTCTCCCAGGAGTAAAGGCATAAAAGCGAGAAAGGATCTTCAAGTCAATCTTGGGGAGATCATCAACAGGCAGGAAGCGGGTTGTCCATTTCTGAAACAGGGAGCAACCAGCAAAGAGGACGCGGCGAACCATGCCTTGCTTTTCACGAGTTCGCTCGCTGTCAAGGCATTGGCCAGTCTCCTGACCGCCTTCGTTCTAAATCTTTATCTGTGGCGAGACCGAGGTCACGGCTACATGGAGGACGGAGACGGCATCGAGGAAGTGAAAGGACCAACAACCACGTCTTTAGCAGAACTGATCCGTTCCCAAGGCGACCTCGATGCCCAAGCACGAATGCTGCGGAGCATTTTACTCGAAACCGAACGCCTGAGCCCGCCTATCGTGGGCGTTATGCGGAGAGTCCAGCGAGATATTGTTCTTAAGCCTCATCAACAGTCTTACTCCCAATCCGAAACTGAAACACCCACCAGCACCGCCACCAGAAACATGAATAATAGCATGACTTACCCACCACCATCACCACCACCTGAAGGAAACGCCATGCACCACGCCGTCCCCGCAGGTCACGACATCTGGCTCTACCTCTCAGGTGCATCACGCGATCCCACCGTCTTCGGAAACGACGCCGACCTCTTCAGATTCGATCGCTATATGCCATCCCCTTCCTCTTCCTCCTCTACTTCGAACAAAGACTTGCACTCCCACTCCGACTCCGATTCCTTCGATCCACCTCCCTCTCTCGTCTTCAGCGCCGGTCCGAAGACCTGCTTAGGCACCGAACTCGTGCGTCAGATTGTTCTTACGGTGGGTAAGGCCATGGTTGACGTGGGGGTGGAGATGGAGGGAATGGTGGAGGATAGAGGGGTTCGGGGCTGGCTTGGTTGGGACGCTGGCGTGCAGCCGGAGTGGGTGGCTAAGGGGATGAAGCAGTTGCCGGTTCAGAGGCCGAGGGTGGGTGTTCGGGTGGGAATTTTCAGGAAGGGGTGAGGAGAGATGAGAGGGCGGGTGGCTGGGGTGGTGGTAGGAGAGCTTCAAGTTGTGTGGGGTGAAGGGATGCTTCGATACCTGGGAATGTTACTGATTGGGGGGCTGATGTATTGTCTTGGTGTGCATAGATGCACACATGCATGCATAAGTACAGGACGCCTCTTTAGATAGTCACTCTAGACCCATATAAACGCTCCATAAACGGATGTTTTCAAGAAGCCTGGGCGGACGATGTCTGACCTGTCTGTCTGTTTGCGTTCTTACTCCCCTTCCTCCTAAGTATGGGCTCAGCATGTAGCATGCTCCGCTCAAAGTGAGTCCCTTCCGTGAAATTTGGAGGGTCCGTTAAAGGACTCTCCTTGTGGAGATCGAGAGCATATGTGATGGGTACAAAAATGTCAACGAATGGATGGGCCAACTAGAGCCCAGCAAATTTTGGTGACAGATATAGATCACAGTTCATGGTGACGATAGAAGGATCAGAAGTGATGTTTTTCCAGGAAATGACTGCCTTGGCCAATTCGAGCAAATTGCCTAAATTGGACCACTAAGAATAAGTACGTCAATCCGTCACGATAATAAAGGTTTGGGTTGTAAATCTTCTGGTCTATAGTCTATCGTAATACTAAGCTGGTCACGAAAAGGGCGACCGTCAAGGATATCAAGGTAACGGCGAACCCAACAAATCCAGCTTTTCTCCTCCAACTCGTTCTACCAGCCATGACCATGTCTCCTCGGAGATCCCGTTTGACCTTATGAATGCACAAGAGAAATCCGATTCCCGCTACCCAATAGCCGACTGGGATCAATATTGCCAGAATATCCCTCGTCTTCTGAATATAAGCAGAGCTCTCTGGTTCATACTGTCTTAATGCAAGACCGATCATCTGGGGGGCGCTCGAATAGATTAAGATGATGGTGCACGTGTAGATGGCGAGACAAAATGTCTTGGTCTGTGGTGGTAAGAGGAGAGCAAGCAGAGAAGCGAATGCTCCAAGCCACAATTCCGCAGTGAGATATGCCGCACTCATGACACCATAGAGGATGCGTACACCTTTGGATTCGTCGTTTCCAGCAAGACTTCTTGAAAAGACCATCAGAATGACAAAGATGCTGGAAATCATACCACCAACGCCAGTCAAATAAAGTGGCATATATGGTCGCCATTTACCGGAGGAGGTGCAAATGAGGCCACCAGCAACAACGGTGACTGACCCAACCACGCCAACGATGATGCCATATCGTGACAACAAGCTCATCTCGGACGGGTATATCGAAGACATGTATGAAGGCATGTAGTAACCGAAGACATTTCCAGAGAATTGGCGTGCACCAGCGGATAAAGTCAGGAGCCAAAAGGATCTCATCCGAACAATCTGAGAGACAGACGCTTTAATCTGCCTCGTTGCATGCGCGAACTTCCAGTTCCTTCGAAGCGGAGATGCGAAGAGCGAATCATCGCTTGCTTGAATCGGAGGAATTATGGCGCTTCTTCTCGCTGGCTCGCGTAGAATACATCGAGTAATGACAGCCAACACCATTCCCACAATGCCGACAGCTCTCAGTGCGTCATTCCAGGGGGTGCCTGTCTTGTTGAATGCTGTCGCGATTTGCCCACTGACCGCTTCACCAACGTAGACGCCGACATAAAATAGACTAGGAGGGATGCGTTGGCGCACTGCGCACAGGAGATGTGGCCACGTACCTTTCTGCCACGTAGAGCCACTTAGCGTCCACTAGATCACTGATCAAACTGATGCTCAAAGCTTCGACTGGAGCCTGTCCGATGCCCATGCCAATCCTTGCCAGCAGGATCTGCCAAAAGTTGTGACTAAGTCCCTGGAATAGAACGCACAGACTCCACCAGAGAGCGGCAACACTCAGTACCCACACTCTCGCCTTGACATAGTCGGCGACGAATGCAAGCGGCAGAGCAAGTAGTGCGTAGACTATACCCGTTGCATATCCAGAGAGGACTCCATAATCAGACGATGAGAGATTCAGTGAGCTGATCACATCGGCTTGGAAGTAGGAGAGCACGAATTTATCATACTGCGCCAGGAAGAAATTGAGGAAGAGTAAGAAGACAGCAGCAACCACATAGACTCGTGAAAGCAATGTTCTTGGCTTGTAGGCGTGATCTTGCTGGGTTCTCGGCTCTTCCTGTGAGTCGTCACTTGAAGGGGGCTTGAAATCTTCCTGGGGGTTGGCCCATATTTGCATTTTTGTTGTCAGTCGGCCAAAGAGCACAAGTATCGCTAGTTGGACGTGTAGCCCTGAATACACAACCTCATCTCCATAATGTGAGTTGTAAAGAAGACGAGCTCCCAAGAAGGTGGCGGACTAGCTCCAGTCGAACCACGTCATGAAGTCAAAGCTGACTCTTTTCACTGCAACTAATCGACCTGATTGCTGCCACGATCTTCAGCTTCCACATCAGTCATAGTCGAGTTCGGCAACATCGAACATGACCGGATCGCCGTCTGTCATCTACATCCTATACAACGCCAAAGCTTCGCTGCTTGGAAAACTGAATTATGTCTGTCGGAAGTTAAGCACACCAGCAGATCAAAGTGCCTGCGCCGCTTGCGACTTGACGCATGGTGGGTTGAGACTTGACGAGTCGGCGGAGTGGAAAGCTACGAAGCAGAAGATTCCCGCACAGGTAAAACAGCTTCATACGGACGAGCTCACTCCTGAAGTATGCTACCACAACCTTCTCAGGGGTGTGCAGGGTTGACTCTTCTTCCGCAGCTGTCAGATTTTGTGTCTACAAACAAGTTGAGGTATCCTGTTGTACTGGGCCAGGACTCGGAGAGCGAAAGCACTCTCAAGGTCCTCCTTACCTCTGAAGATCTTGCTGGGGTCTCCAAGAATCATTCTGGCTTTTTGTCTTTGCTTTTGGAACGTGCGAAAGAGAAAGGTGTTGATCTGCAGAAATAGTAGGTATAGTGGACATGTTCGACATATCGCTTCGTGGCTGGAAAGATGGCGTGGTGGATCCTATAAGTCGAGGAGTACCGCAATCCATTACTCCCGGTCAGATAACATTCAGCGCGTTCGTGTGCGGACTGCTCTCGTGTTTCTTGGCGACGAGGCCTGGCTATGAGAACGTGGCACTGGCCTTTTGGGTGCTGAACCGGTTCCTTGACTGCCTCGATGGATCTCTTGCTCGAGCCAGAGGTTGCGCCACCCAGCTCGGAGGCTTCCTTGACCTTCTCAGCGACTTCATCATTTACTCTCTCCTTCCCATATCAGTTGCTCGAGGGCAGTCAGAATTCGTCCTGATTGACTGGACAGCACTGGCTCTGCTAGAAGCGAGCTTTCACGTCAATAACTTCGTGCTCTTCTACGTTGCTGCAGTGGCTGCCGACAAAAGTGACGGCGAGTTAACTAGTGTCACAATGAAACCTGCTTTGATCGAGGGATTCGAGAGTGGCTTACTGTTTACAATGATGCTTATCTGGCCTGCTCGGATCAATGTGTGGTCCAGAATTATGGCTGCAGGCGTGGCATTTGGCACTGCGCAAAGGGTATGGAGCTTGGTGCCCATACTCAAGCGGTTCGACGCTCGAAAAAAAGCAGAATGAATAGCTAAAAGCAAAAGAGAAGGCTATTGCAAAAGGCTAGATATGCAGGTAGCTCCACATTCCGAATACGATTATCCAAGAACTACCACATAAGGCCCGCATATGAAACTGATCCAAAAATTGCCTTGGAAGAAGTGGGAGGGATTCACTGTATATTCTCCTAGCTCGCTCTTTGTCCAAATTAGTCACTACACATCCATCGTTTTCCCACTTGACGAGCTCTGCAATGCCAACTCAACAAGCCGAATGATCAAAGAAGCCGTATTTGGATCGACTGGAAGTTGCTTCGTGTCCCCAGCAAGCGCTCTGGCAAGTTTGCGATAATACTCAGCATAAGTCGCTGGTTCCACAGTTGGTACCACTTCGCTTGTAATTTCTCCGTTGTCCACCATTGTCAACACCCCGTATCGGTCTTGCGGCTCAAGGCCATAGCCAGCATCACCAGGTCTCATACCAGCTTTGAGTTGTTCTTCTTGACAATCCAAGTGGAACTTCTTGAAGCTGCCTTTGTCGCCACGTACCCAATATCTCAATTGATTCACCTCTGGACTCACGACACTTGCTCTGGCAGTCGCCATCTTACCATCGTAGTGCATGTGAATGGTGCACGAATCTTCGAAGCCTGTTGGGTTTGGTTCTCGCTGGGTGCCGATGAAGGCTGTGATCCTCTTTGGGGTCCCGAACAAGTAAACTACCTGGTCTATCAAATGGATTCCCAAATCATATATTGCTCCTCCTCCTGGTTGGACCTTGTATTTCCAGCTGTCGGAGTTTGGTGCCTGGGGTCGATATCTGTCAAAATGTGTTTCAAAGTCGACTACTCGACCAAGAGAACCATTATTGATGTATTTCGACAACGTCAAAAAGTCTGCATCCCATCGACGATTTTGATAAACTGTAAGCAGTCTCTTCTGCTTGTTGGCCAGGTCAGTCAGTTCATATGCCTCCTTCGAGGTGGGTGTGAAGGGCTTTTCAACCACGACTATACCACATCAATTTCTCCTTCCTTTATTTCTAGCACTGGCGCTCACCGTGTTTTCCAGCTTCTAACGCTTGTTTGGCCAGGGGAAAATGCTGATCTGGGGCTGTGGTCACAATCACAACATCAACCATTTCGTCTTGGCACAAATCATCCACAGATGGATAGATCTGTACGCCAGGATGGTCTTTTCTAGCATCGTTGTCGGGCTTGGGGCTCCTCTGCACGATAGCATGGAGATTCAGCTCGGGCACATATGTGACGAAGGGGATGTGGAAGATTTTGGCACTGAGGCCATAACCAATGATCCCGACATTAAACTTCCTTGCAGACATTATTGTGTATAAATGGGTTGGAATAGAGGTTACATTTGGTAGTTGAATTCGACTTCTGACCTGGTCACTTCACATGTCCCTGAGGTCTGCCTGTACCTTCAATCCCACATAGTGTCCATCTAGTTATCATGTATCAGAAGTACTCAAGTACTACTACTTAGTAGTACTACTAGTAGTTACTCCGTAAGTACGGTAAGATCACGAATGAGGGGTAATCCTTGGCATTCTGCACGAGCGCGTCTTGTCTGGACGCGTGTCATAATTCTAGACCGCAGAGCTCTCTGGCCGGAGCTAGGTGACGGAAATAGTGGGACTTCCCGCCCACCCTCAAAACAACCCCCTTTTTTCTATCTTCTATTATTCCACTAATTGCTATTCAAATCAGCTAAAAAATGGCCAGAAGTTGCAAAACTACTCGAAAAAACTGTCGACAGCCTGATTCGTCGATTTCGATACCCACAGAGCCTCCACGTGAGCCAAATACAATAGTTGATACTCTACGGCGTACGCGACTTCTTTGCGCTGCGCAGGCTATAGCTAGCAAATTACCTCGAAAAAAGCTATTTGAATTACTTGTTATATTAAACATAACAAGTTATCGAATCATTTGTTACGACACGGATTGCCCTATGGCCCAAGGGCATTGGGGCTGAGGGCTAGGGCAGGCTCGGCACCCTGCGTCATATCTCTATCCTCGCCTCCATAGCACTTAAAGAGGGAACGATCGCCTTACCACACAGTCATACAGTAGTTCATACGCAGCTATTTCGTGACTCTCCTGCTTCTATAGCACCCCCATACCCTGTTGCACGGCGTTCTGTGTAACAAAGAGTTCTTTATACTTTTATATAGGCGCAAAAAAAGATAGACGACTTACTCAAGCTGATTATCTTGTTTTCTAGAAGAAGTTATCGCTCCTAATTAGGATAAGGATTAGATACTTCTAAAGGATAACAATAATGCTCATAGCACTCGTAGCAAGGCTGAAAACAAAGTCAAAAAGGCTAAAGCTCGTTTAGGGATCCAATAGGAAGCTAATTACCCAGAATCGCCAGATTTGAACCCTATTAAGAGTATCTGGAGGTTGTTGAAGCAGAGGCTAAAGAATCGAGGCCTTATTACTGATCCAGAGGAGTTGCGGCAGGCAATTGAGGAGGAATGGGATAAAATAACTCTGGAGGAGATCAATAAGGCAATTGCTACCATGCCCAAAAGAGTAGCTGCCGTAAATGAGCGAAATGGTCTTCCTATACCATTTTGAAGATAGAAGTAATAGAGTGCTCTGGGGCGGAAGTCCCACTATTTCCGTCACCTAACTCCGGGCCATCTGCTATTGCTCCTCCCCCACACATCGAGTGATCTCCACAGCATCCTATCATCAGAAGTCAGTGTTGTTGCAAATGGTTGGTTTGAGCTGCTTACAGGCACTCCTGTAGGCTCCCACGACTTGATCAGCTGGCTCTCGTACACAAGGTTTGGATTGCCTGGAAACTCAAGATTTGGCTTTTCGTCTGCCATCCTCTTGCTGTATTGATTTTTGTATCTGTCCGAAAATCCTAGAGAGTCGTAAGATCTGCCTTCTTTATTCTGTATCCTCTCTTTCTTCTGTTGGACGCTGCTTCGAACGTATTCGAGGTAGGGCGGATTGCCTGGCATGATGACGTTGTCCGCTGCAAGGACCGACCCAGGACGAATCAACTTTAGATGCTCGCACAGCTTCAAATCGGTCGTATATGCTGGTTTGTAGTGGTCCAGGAACAACAAATCAATTCGCGTCAGAGTGCCCTCATCATGGAGTCGTGCAATTGACTGGTCGCTAGGTCCAACATGCACCTTGACAATATCGCTTAGCCCGGCTAGATCGACCAGAGAGGTGATGACCGCAGCGAATTCCGGATTTCTCTCGAGGCTGTAGTAACGCTTGCCGCCTGCTTTCCTGACCGCATCGCCAAACAACAGACCAGAATATCCGATATAACCACCAAGCTCCACCATTATCTCAGGCTTTACCTCTGCAATCAAGTCACATACTATCTTGCCTTTGTCGGGACCAACGTTCATCAGGTAATTCTTAGTTGTGGCATATTTGTCAATGGCAGCTATGACTTCCAGCGGATGATCACGTATCTGGTCGATCTCTGGAAGAGAGTATATAAAGTGGAGGAGTTCAATTTCGCGACCATCGTCGAACTGACATGGTTAGTATTTAATGATTATTCATCGAAGACATAGATAACCGACAAATGGAACACCGTCTGGTGGTTGTTGAACATAAAGAGTCTCCTTGGACATGGAATGATCATCATCCTTGTTCGCCATGGCGAGGCTGCTCTGCATCAACTCTTGCGGAAACGATGTTTTGACGACAGTGTGAGAGTCGCTAATACAATTACGGGTTCAGTAGCAACACAGTTCCCACAAGGCCAAGCGGTTCAATCCGAACATGCTACTTGTCCGCACTTTTCACCCTCTCCCAAGCGAGACTCCGATCCACATCCCGATATCGGCCATTCCAGAAGACCCCATAAAAGGCGCGAAACCTGATGCCAGCTTGATCCTCTAGTTCCTTGCACTTCAGACATGTGCCCACGAAAATAAGTCTCGCCGAGATCTACAAAACTATAAATGCGAATTGAGGTTGGACTGCTCGGAATTATTTAGTCCGACCCACAACATAATGAACGCTTTCGATGCTAGATCTTCTCATGTCTTGAGATCATGGATGTACGAGTGCATCTCACAGTATCCCAGATTTTAGACCACGAATCGAGAAATGTCTGGCAATGCGCTCACGTCCTCTACTGTGTGGGGCTGTGGTGGGGCTGTCCCACTCGAGATTTTTTTAGCAGGATCAAGAAGCATGCCAGATCAATCAATCTATCCGAAATATAGCGGGCCCCGTTCTGGAGGCAGATCAACCTCATCTAGGGTATCATACGTCAGAAAAAAGCATCCTCACCCCTAGCTTCATGCACGTGTGAGAGAGAGAGCATGCAGGCAGGAAGTGACCTTGCCGACCATTGGGAAGGACAACTCTTCCGCCATCATTCTCCTGTAAAGATCCTTTCTCCAGCAACACGCTATGCACATTTCGCGCACGCTAGCGACGACATTGTCTGCAAACCGCTTTGTGCTGGCCCGTACCTCGTGGATCTGAGGCAACCCGAGCAGCCCATTGTTGCAAGCTGGCGCGCTAGGTAGCTCTCCTCCCAGGTCGTTACCCACAGTGAGCTCTGTCAATCCGAGTTCTGTGCACGTCGTTGGCGTGATGCCGAAGATGGCGCCATTCATTCGCCACTGCAGTCTGGCAGAGCATGCCGAAATCATGGGCCTGGCGCCATTGATTGCAAGAATCTGCAGCATTGCATAAAGATCATGTCTCCTTTTCACTTGTCCCTTTTTACTTATTATCCCCCTGGTACCCACTTCAAACCCCCCTTTCCCTCTCTCAGCCCTGATACATCCTCTGCTTGTTTTTGACTCACGCTCCGCGGAAATGTCTGACCTCAAGGCCACGGTGTCTGAGACCAAGAATGGATTCCATGTTGAAGGTTACGAGAAGATCGAGTATGACTTCACGTTCATCGATGGAGTCTTCGACATCAAGAATAGCAATCTCGCTGATTGTTATTCGCGCTGGGGCCGTGTCCTCGCTGTTACAGATCTCAACATCTATAACGTGTATGGCAAACAAATGCAACGATATTTCGACCACTATGGCCTAGAGCTGAAAATACACAAGACCAAAATCGGTGAAAAAGCGAAAACGATACCCACGTTTCTGAGCATTGTTGATTCTATGACTGAATTTGGGATCTACCGGAAGGTGGGAGATCGTCCGCATTGGCGAGAGATAACGTGACTTATTCGATGACCTTCAGGAACCAGTACTTGTTGTCGGAGGTGGGCTGGTCACAGATACCGCTGGGTGAAATCTTCCCAGTGCCTGCAATGACTTTGACGAGGAAGTGCACCTACTGACTGTCCTCTGGCCAGTTTTGCATGCGCTGCCTACCGACGCAACACTAATTGTCAGTCAGCATTGTCTCGCTCGTAAGACTCTTTGCTGATAAAGAGCAGTCATTCGAGTCCCCACCACTGTGATTGGCTTGATTGATGCATCTGTCTCTATCAAAGTTGCTGTCAACTATGGCAACTACAAGAATCGTCTAGGAGCCTACCATGCACCCATTCATACCTTCCTTGATTTCACCTTCCTGCGCACTCTACCGAAAGCCCAGATCAGAAATGGATTCGCAGAGCTCATCAAGATATCTTCTTGTGCTCATCTAGACACCTTCAACTTGTTGGATAAGTACTGTGAACAGCTCATTGAGACCGGCTTTGGCCGCACAGACAATGCTCCCGCAGAAGTCAGAAAGGCGGCCGATACTATCAACCGAGAGGGCATCCACGAGATGCTCAAGCTCGAGACTCCCAATCTGCATGAAATCGGGTTGGATCGGGTCATTGCTTATGGGCACACGTAAGACGTGACTCCTCTGGGAGTTTCCAGCTGCGTGCTTACACTTCTAGATGGTCGCCTCTCCACGAACTTGTTCCTGAGACACCGCTTCGCCACGGTCACGCCATCTCAATCGATATGGCTTATTCTGCTACACTAGCTAACAGTCGAGGACTCCTGAGTGATGTCGAGCACATGCGTCTGCTCAATCTCTTCTCTCGAGCAGGCCTATCGATGGACCACCATCAATTTGACGAAGAGATACTGGACAAGGGCACAGCAGCAATCCTGAAGACCCGGGATGGAAAACTTCGAGCAGCCGTCCCGAGGCCTTTGGGAAGCTGCATCTTCATCAATGACCTTGAACCAAAGGAAATGCATAGCGTCCTCCGCAGGCACAAAGAGATCATGAAGCAATTCCCGCGAAATGGGGAAGGGCTGGAAGCCTACGTTGATGCGAGCGATACTGGGTATACCGAGAACCACTATGACGAATCGAAGGCCATCGAGGAGGCTGCAGTTACCGCGGGCAACCTCAACGGTTTTATGAACGGTACGAATGGCGTCTCAAAAGGCGTGAATGGCCACACAAATGGGCATAAGGACGGGCCTGAAGCTCACACGAACGGAGAATTAGATGGCGTCTCAAAGATAGCGCAGCAGGCCGGTTTTGATGGGGCCGAGCACGGTTTGATGAACGGTGCCGATGGTTTCACAAACGGTGCAAAAGCATGAGAGTATTACCTAGTATACAGACAACGAAATTCCCTTTTTGGTTGAATGCGTTGCTGCTTTCGGTACAAAAGTCCATAGACAAGTTCATAATTTTCAGCGAGAGGCTTATTCAGTCTTTCCCTCGTTTTGATGTTCTCTACAATACCTACCTGAGCTTTCTGTGTATCCATTGTCTATCCACCACTCTGTCATAAAATGACGGTATTTATTATTGGCTCGCTTATATTCACGCTAAGCCAACCTTAATCTATAGTAAGCCAATCAGACAGCTCATTTGCAACCTTAATTAGAAATAGCTCTAACCCGATTTGGAAGAAACAACACCAAGTATCAAATTGTGATAGATTTGCTATAGATCCGGTGCATGTCGATCCCAACAGCGCGAATTGTAGCAGATTGGGATATCACATTTGATACAGTAATGCGCTGATCTATGAACCTTTATTCCGGGGTTGTTTGCACTATTGGGGCCGTTCAGAGGCAGTTCTTGAAGCGCTTTGCGTAGCCTTCCTGCTTTTTGAGGCGGATGGCAGACTTGACAGTGGCGATAAGTACCCAAATTGCCCCAAGCGTGCCCTTAGAGGTCCCTTTAGGCACTGTTTTTGTATGGAGATTGCAGCTCTGTTGGGAAACCCTTGGGCGTCGTTAGCGTAGAATAGCACCAGGGCTGCGGAGTAGATTCTGTGCAATTTCTTCTTGAAATTGAGCGTGTGAGAGCCTTTTGCCTTGTTTACCTAGCTTATAGAGGATATATGCATTTGTAACAGCTGCATCAATAAGTAGAAAGAATAAGGGCAGCCAGTTGCGTCGATAATAGTGCTTGTTTACTGAATAGTACGAATTCAGCTTTGCATGATTATCTGAGCCACCCATCTCTTTATTATATCGCTCAAGGGCATATAGCTTTCGTATATATCGTTGTGGCTTATCTTTAGGATGCGTAGATTTCGCAGATAGCGCAGGCAGCGTAGGATTCGTAGGCAGCACAGGATTTGTAGAGGGCGCAGAATTCGCAAGGGGCGCAGAATTCGCAGGGAGCGCAGAATTCGTAGAGGGCGCAGAATTCGTAAGGGGCGCAGAATTCGTAAGGGGCGCAGAATTCGCAAGGAGCGCAGAATTCGTAGAGGGCGCAGAATTCGCAGGGGGCGCAGAAAACGCAAAGAGCGCAGAATTTGTAAATTTCGCCGCATTTCTAGAATTTGCAGCATTTATAGTTTCTGCATCCACAGCAAGCTTTAGAGAGGCCCTAGGACGCTTGATTCTGTCAAAATAGGTGTATTTCTCTATAGTAGGATTGTGAACAGTAGTTATTATTGCCTTAGAAGCCATATCACAAAATGCAATATAACTAACGCTACTAATAATGTAATTAAACCACTCTCTGTGGTTATTTTGCTTCGTCATTGCATCACAAAGATATGCTAGCTCTTTTAATATATCAGATCCTGCTTTAGCTATGCTATTAGCCCTAATTCCGAGTTCATAAAGTCGTTAATAGAGTTTGCGAGTTATAAAGAAGTTATTCAAATATAGAACGTAGAATAGCTTAGGGCGCGGAAATCAAGTCAGAAGCGACTCTGCAAAATCAAGCACAATTGCCTCGCTTTAAGAGAAATCAGGATATTATCCTAATTTAGCTATCTTCTCTGTAATACTATTGAATTTAAAGTCAATTATATAGCCGTTAAAGCAACAGAGGCTATATATCTTATATCCTTTACTAATAGCCTTTGAATTCATCTAAATAGTATGCTTTAAACGTCCTTTAAATTTGACTAATTGCTCGTTAATTAAGAGATTCTGCGGTAATTCGTATATCTTTAGAGTTGTAGCTATACGAAATCAAGTAGCAAGAGGCTTAACTTTTTTTTACTATTAAGTATTAAGGAGAGGCCCTGGCCTATTAAGCTTAATATATCTTAATATCTGCTAAAATCTTAATAGAAAGATATATTAAGTAACTAGCTAATAAGGATAGTTCTCTTTTTGATTCTAATAATAAGCTAGATCTCTGCTACCTAGCTATACACTAATAAGAAGTACAACGCTAATATAGCCTTTAATATCTGTAGCAGTTACATCCTTTTATATTTGCTAGTTTTGATCGAATTTTTAAGATCTCTCCTTAAATACGTATTCATTTATATGCTCTGTAATATCCATAAATAGCTCTTTTGGAATAAATCAATAGAATAGATCAATTGGCTTATATTTATAAGCATAAAGTTTTGCTTGCCCTAACATAAATAGAATTAGAACGTTCAGTTTTTCAGGGTACTGTCGATTAGGGCCAATTTGTTGAGCAAGAATTTCGAGCTTCTCTGACTTGTTTTGAGTTGATTCAACTTGTATCTGCCATTCTTCCTTCTCTTTTCTATGCTGTGTGTGTATGCCAGTTTGTTGGGAGCTGTTTTGGCGGAGTAATTGACGTTGCCGTTTCGACTGAGATAGGTCACTTCCGACGGATGAGGAACGTTCATTAGATACCGGTTTTTGCCCTGTTGAAGGTGTACCAGGCCGTAGGGAAAGTACTTGAGTTAGCTGACTTTGTACTTGATTTTCTCGGGCTTTTCGGCTCTGAATTCGCGCTCTTTTGGGGCGTGGACAGTCCTTGGCTACTGGAGCAGCTTCAATAGAATCAATTGGCCCTGAAATCTCCTCTTGGTGGTGTTTTTGAGGCATTTGGTTACTATCAATAGGTATATTCCTATCCTACTGGCCCCCTGAGGGGTTGAATTTTGAGGTTAAGGTTGCCGACGCTAACCGTTAATGGCCGGCGCTAGTAGGATTTCTGACGAATAATAAATACCGTCATTTTATGACAGAGTGGTGGATAGTACTCATCCTGACCAGCTGCCAAGGGTCCCCTATCATACCGGGTACGTAAATTACGTTGCTCGATACCATCATACAAAACACGACGTCATTGGATATCTACCACTGCGATATTTTCAACGAAGTTTGATCAATCACATGCACCCAAGCATGGGAATTGGACCCGGAAACTGATACCTGATACTATGCTTAGCCTCGAACGTATCTTTTGGGGCATCTCCATCGTGATGGGAAGAAATTGAGGAGACGTGGTCCAAAATACATTCTGCTGAAAACCCAATGGTCCGTACTTCTTCAAAATGCTCGACGCCGATTCCTCTGAATTGCTACACTTTGCGCAGAATGTGTGTCTTATACTTCTCTCTGTTGTACTCCTCCCGTTATCCACCGCAATACTCTTCCTCAGTTATGCTGTACGACTATTCTTTGGCGAAAATGCCTCTCGTCAACGCTCCCAACGATCGCCAAATTTTCAACCGAAAACCATCCTTGTCACAGGAGTCGGCATGGCTAAGGGACTGAGAATTGCTCGGGCATTCTACCAGACAGGCCACAGAGTCATAGGAGCTGACTTCGAACCAAATTCGATTCTCGTCAGTGGCCGATTCTCCAGAGCTATCGACAAATTTTACCGCGTCAGCAAGCCATCACCACAGCATGGCGCAGCCCGTTATGTTAGGGATTTGGTGTACATAGTGGAGAAAGAGGAGGTGGATCTCTGGGTCAGCTGCTCGGGTGTTGCTTCTGCTGCTGAAGATGGACAAGCTATGGAACTACTTGGAAGGAAGACGAATTGCAAGAGCATACAGTTTGATGTCAAAACCACAGAAACTCTGCATGAGAAAGATCGTTTCATCGAATATACAAAGTCTCTAGGATTGGTGGGCTGTCAATGGAAACAGCATTCAGAGAACGTACTAACGTTTTCAATTAGCCCGTCCCTGAAACCCACCAAGTGGTGTCAAGAACCGCTGTGCTCAATGTGCTGAACGAAGCCATTGACGGCAAGAAGAAGTATATAATGAAGACTATAGGGGTCGATGATGCATCTCGAGCAAGCACAGCCATCGTCCTACCAAAGCGAACATTAAGCCAAACATACGGCCACGTTTCCAAACTCTCCATCTCCAAATCAACACCTTGGGTCTTGCAACAATATATTAAGGGCGAGGAGTATTGTACACATTCGATTGTCATTGATAACAAGGTCAAGTTGTTTGTTGCATGTCCGTCGTCGGATCTCTTGATGCACTACCAGGCCTTACCGCAAGAATCAGGGCTTAGTAAAGCAATGCTCCACTTTACGGAAGAATTTGCTCATCGATCGGGATCTGGTTTTACCGGGCACCTGTCGTTTGACTTCATGGTAGAAGAGAAGGTAACAGAAGGCTGTGTGCAGAAGAATATTTACCCAATTGAATGCAACCCTCGAGCACATACTGCAGTAGCTCTGTTCTCCGGCACACAAGGCTCGGTTGATATGGTCAAAGCTTACATGAGTGTCCTGGACTCTTCGCCAACAAGCGGTAGCAATGGACATTTGGACCTGTCTTATACCCTCTCTGGCACTGGGTCTGTTGCTTATCCACTACCAACAGCTCCTGGCTACTACTGGATGGGCCACGATATCGTCACTCTTGTTCTTCATCCTCTGCTACGCATTCTGACCTTCAGAATTGGATTCTGGTCATTCATTCATCATGTCACCACTTTTGTGAATCACGTTCTGTTCTGGAAAGAAGGTACATATGAGGTCTGGGATCCGTTGCCCTGGTGGTGGCTATACCACGTCTACTGGCCCAGGCAGTTTTGGGCCTGTCTGAGGACAGGCAAGAAATGGATTAGGGTCAATGTCTCTACCACAAAGATATTTGGTTGTTGAGCATCTGGGTACCTTTTGTATATTTTTGAACGAGCATGCAGCCACATCTCTCGGTATTTCTTGGTACACAGCGGCTGTCTTAAACTGGCCTGCTACGTAGTAAAGTGATATCCGCATGTTAGGCTGAGTTGATAGATTGGAATGCGCAGAAGTCTTCCTCCAAGAAGAATCTGATACGGCTCTCAAAAGAGGAGAGCTGCTTCCATCAGCCACACATCCACGTTGTCATGTCCAGCTATTAAACACGTTGTTGCTTACGAACAAAGAGCAAGACGGCATCAATAAGTGACAGCAAAAATGGAATGATATTTAGGGCTTGAGACCGTTCAGTTTGCGGCCCTTCGGCCCCACTATTTTTGTCAGCGGTCCCTGTGGCCGCCGAGCAATGTCTAACGATTTCCACCAGAAATATTTCCAACCTCAGCCAGGGTACAGAGGAGACATCTGCCCGCCACAACCACTGTCTATATTCATTTTGGCCGCCATCATAAGGCTCACTCGACGAAAAGCTCTTTCAGCAATCTAAGCTTACCTGAAGTCTTCGGTTACTCGCAGGCACAAGTTTACAGAGTCCCGTCATTAGTACCGGGCATTTTAAAATTCCCACCGATAAAGATCGCCGAACAGCCCACATCAGCCTACTTCGAGATATTCTCTTAGACTCAATTCTGCTTCGAAATCTCATTTTCTGCCTTTAAAATGCCTGTCTCATCATCTAAGGCTGCCCGCCAGGCTAAGCGCGCTGAAAAGAAGACTCCGACTTCTCGTCTGTCGTCAAAGGCTGGCTCGAAGACTGGATCGAAAGCCTCCTCTGTAAATGGAGATGAGACGCCTCCTCTGCTAGACGGCGATGGCAACCCGCTTCCCGATGATGATGAGCCCGCCACCAACCAGGAGAAGATGACCAAGGTGCAAAAATTGACTGAGCAGATGGACAAGCATGGCATGTCGGACAGGGTCACAACGGGTGTACTGGCGTCTTTGGCTGCAAGCAGAGACGTCAAAATTACCTCTGTGTCGCTGGTGTTTCATGGGAAGGTTCTGATCACAGACACCACCCTTGAGCTCAATTTTGGCAGACGATATGGTCTGCTTGGTGAGAACGGTTGTGGTAAATCGACTCTTCTTAAGGCTATCGATAAGCGAGAGTTTCCAATCCCAGAGCACGTCGACATTTATCTGCTGAATGAAGGTGCTCCTCCCAGTGAGCTCGGGGCGCTCGAATGGGTGGTGAAGGAAGCAGAAAATGAGATGGAGAGGCTTGACAAACTGGCCGAAGATATCTTAGAAAAAGAGGGCCCAGAAAGTCTTGTCCTGATGGATCTGTATGAAGTATATGACCTCCAGTCTGTCTCTAAGGAGCTTCGTTACTGACTGGAACCAGCGCATTGAAAGTATGGAGCCTTCAACATTTCAGACGCGTGCGTCCCTCATCTTGACTGGTCTGGGGTTCAATAAGAAGACAATAAACAAGAAAACAAAAGACATGTCTGGAGGTTGGCGTATGCGTGTTGCCCTAGCCAAGGCTCTGTTTGTCAAGCCGTCCCTCCTCCTTCTCGATGACCCTACAGCACATTTGGACCTTGAAGCCTGTGTCTGGCTGGAGGAGTATCTAAAGAAGTGGGATAAGACCCTTATTCTCGTCTCCCACTCAATGGATTTCCTAAATGGCGTATGCACAAACATGATCGATATGCGCCAAAGAAAACTGATGTATTATGGTGGAAATTACGACTCGTATATCAAAACTCGCTCAGAACAAGAAGTCAACCAACAAAAAGCCTATCTCAAACAGCAAGAAGAAATCGCCCACATCAAGAAGTTCATTGCTTCGGCAGGAACATATGCCAACTTGGTGCGACAAGCTAAATCGCGCCAGAAGATCTTAGACAAGATGGAAGCCGACGGCTTCATCCAACCTGTTGCTCAAGACCGCGTCTTCACCTTCCGCTTCGCCGATGTCGAGAAACTCCCACCTCCCGTCCTCTCTTTTGACAACGTCACCTTCTCCTACTCCGGCAAGAGGGAAGACAACCTGTACGAAAACCTCGACCTGGGAGTGGACATGGACTCGCGGACCGCCCTGGTCGGCCCGAATGGGGTTGGCAAATCCACACTCCTCCGCATCATGACCGGCAAGCTCTCCCCCACCGGCGGCGTCGTATCACGGCACACCCATCTGAAGCTGGGCATGTATTCCCAGCACTCGGCTGAGCAGCTCGACTTGACCAAATCCGCTCTCGACTTCGTCAGAGATAAATACTCAGACAAATCCCAGGACTATCAGTACTGGCGCCAGCAGCTGGGCCGATATGGGTTATCTGGGGAATCACAAACTGCGCTAATGGGGACCTTGTCCGAGGGCCAGAAGAGCAGGATCGTGTTTGCCTTGCTGGCGATCGAGGGGCCGAATATGCTGTTGCTCGATGAACCGACTAACGGATTGGATATTCCGACTATTGACTCCTTGGCTGATGCCATTAATGCTTTCAGTGGTGGTGTGGTGGTGGTTTCGCATGACTTCCGGTAAGCTGGAATCAATTACGCCCGAGAAGGTGTTTTGAAAAAAAAGACCCTAGCTGATTTTTCTGGGACAGATTACTAGACAAAATCGCCAAGGACATCATGGTGTGCGAGAACAAGACGGTCAGGCGGTGGGATGGCAGTATCGGCGAATACAAGAACTACCTGCGAAAGAAGATGGTGTCTATGGGTCAGGTGTAGGATGGCGCCAGAAACTGGTGGAGTCCCCTGATGCTCTCACGAACGCAAAGTTTAGGTAAGGGGCCAAGAAGGAAGGGTTCATTCTGATGCAACTCTTTCTGCTAAGACTAGATCACTTCAATTCGCTGAAATCAGGGAAAAGTATTCATGGCCATGGTCATGGTCATGGTCAGAGTCAGACTCCTCACTTGGACGATTTACCGGGCCTAGGATGGGACGGGAAGGTCCGGGCAAGAGCGGAGTATTCGGTCCGTTTTTTCTTAGCGATTTCGTCGCTGGCGTTTGGGTAGGTAGATAGATAGACAGGGGCGATAGTCTCGGTTACGTGCTTGCCTCGCTAGCTGTGTTGGCCTATGAGACCCTATTTGCACCAAATATGCTGTGACTGGCATTTACGCCACTGAGGACACTAGAAATCCCGTATCCCGTATCCCGGATCCTTGCTTGTCTTGAAGCATTCAAACCCCCCCGATGTCGCAAGCAGCTAGGATCTGTCTGTCGAGTCCTCTGCGGACCTTTTTCGACTGCTACGGATTGAATGTTGTTGTTACGCCCCTCAAGCCCAAGATGAGTTCCTCAGTGGCCTAGAAGCATCGAAAGCTGGAGGGTTGATCGGCTGACCTTAAAGGTGTTCGGCCATGCTCCGTGATGACGTGGACAGAAGTTCTCTTCATGCCCAAAGATGCAAGGAATGCCTCATCTTTGGAGAGGTGGCCATCTCTTCACTGGAATTCCAAACAGGGAAAGAATCGCGGTCCTGCGAAGCCATGCGCAACGATGCTCTGGATATCGATGTTTGAATTCTGAGAGGGTGCCCACAGCTTGATGAGGATGAACTTTCCGGCGCTATACACAACAGACGCGAGTCCGAATTAGCAATTGTTCTCATAGAAGATTCAAACACCTGGCAAGATATGTGGAGGAACAGATGGAGTGGTCGGCAAGGCCTGGCTGACAAGGAGTAGAGAATAAAGGGAATACTCACACAGGCGGATCAAACCTGACAGTAACACAGCTCTTGTGCCTCCTTATGAAGAACCTCGCATGAGGCGCCAAAACATCCGTGGTCTTCGAACCAGCATTCAGTGGATCAGGGTTAGCCACTTCAATCCGACTTGGTGCTCTCCTCATCATCCGCCCATATCGTATATGCCGGTCCTCCATCATTTGCGCCGTGTACTCCGAAATCAGTATGCGCCGTTCCTCGGGGCTGACATTGTCGAGATCTACTCCGGATCGCGAGAAATATTCGTCAGGGGATTCTGCACCTTCATCTGAAGAAGAACCCGGGCTGTCTTCTCCGTCGATTTGTCTGTCAGACCATGAACGGCGGTATCGAGGCCAGTAGTGATCGCGTAGATTGAGGATTCGGTCAATTTCTGCCTCCTCCCGTTCGGAAACTGATTGCGCTCCAGTGGCATCCTCGTTGTCAGAATCGACGTCGTCGAATCGTGTGGTAACATGAAAGCCGGGGATTTGCTGGGGTATGCTACCTCGATTTTCCGAGTCATTGCTGAAGTCGGTAGTCATGGCAGTTATAGCGGAGTTCTCTGGTTGGCGGGGTGGAGGGAAGGGGTTTCGGAGATAGGTTGAGCGGTCAATGGATCGAAGTGGGGAGCGAATCGAGTGGAAATGCTCATGCGATGACTGAAGTCGTATATGGCTGAACTCGTTGCGTTGGGAGCGTGGCCGTCGGGGCGAATATTGTATTTGGTATTGTGCGGTGCGAGATAGGAGGTTGTTGTCATCTGAAGACACAAAAATCATTCCTTCCTGGATAGGTGCGTCAAAACCGTTCCGCGGAGCCTTTATGACAAGCTTCCGAAGTGAGAACGGTGTGCCCTTCTTGTGTCGTAGAATAATGTTGCAACGTTCGCTTTTGGTGCAGTAGACTGAGGAATCATCCTGAAGAACATTTTCTGGCCACGAGCTATCACCATTTGGTTCTGAATATTGCCCACCATCACAACTGACGATTTCCATCTTCAGTGGCCCTGAGACAACCTGACCTCGGTGTCCATAGGTAGCTCCTTTGAAACCATCAGATGGGTCATCCGATTCAATCTTCCTCCGCTTTGCTCGCCATCGATTCTCCCGATTCATCTGTGCTTCTCCAGAGTATTCCTGGGCCGTGATATCTGGAGAACCAATGCGCGGAATAGGTCTATCCGGTAATGCCGAGGCAGGGTTGACATCAATCGCTGCATGGTGGTCGGCATCCCCCCGAGGACGTGCCATACTCTGATTCAAACCCTGATTCAAACGCTGTCTATGTCTTTCTAGCCTCTCACTGGGGCGGGTTGCAGTCCGTCTCGCCCGCATAAGTGAATTCGTATGATTAATAGGTATGGTGTCTGGATCGGGACTCGAAGAGGCCTCATAGTCTCTGACCTGAGACTCGAGCGCTCGCCGCCGGCGATTTAGTCTATCGGACATGGATTCTGTTGATGCTTCCAATAATTCGCGGTCAAGTAAGTCTAATGCCTGTCTCCTTCCTTCACTATCTCTATGCCTTTCCGAGTTCAGCAGATTCCGTAAATGATCCAGGCGAGCGGTGACATCCGGAAGTGTTCTGGATGGCGGATTGGTGGGGACAGAGAGGCGAGGTGGGGAGGCAGTTGAAGCAGGAGGGAAATCGTATTCACCAGACTGTGCAAGAAGGATAGGGTCAATGCTGAGAAGCCAGAGTAGAGATTCCATGGTAGTGCTATTACACTGTGCAGATTGTGCGCTTGGTGCATTTGAATCATGTATGTAGGACGGCTGTCAGACTTACCGTGTCCATGGCAGACAAAGGAATCCGTCTTCATCAAAGGCAGAGCATGTGGCTATTGAGACAGCAGTGCTTCTGCTGTGGAAGTACATTCACAGTGCCGAGATAGGAAGATGGATGGGATGTGTACTTGGTTGTGATGGCGCCTATTGTCGTGAGGTTCCTGCAGGCAACTGCGGAGGTGAATGACCTTTGGGAGTGGACTTGGGAGACCTGGGCGGCAATTCATCTGCAGATGTGCTGTAAACACCCGCAAGTAAGACGTGTATGAGAAGCTAATCCTGCTACTCTGCAACGCCAGAGAGCCAAATATGATTGCTCGTCTATTCCAGTCCCTCTTCTGACCTTGTCATCCTCTCATTTTACCCTTTACAGTCTCCCAAAATCAGCACGTCCGTGACAATGGAGCAAGCGCAAGATGCACCGAATTCATCAGTACCTTCGTCTACTTCCAATCATACGCCGCTTGCCAATCAGACTTTGTCGGGAGGGAACGACATGTCTGCCATGCCTACAACCATTGAATCAACCAACGGCTTCGTCGAGCCGCTTCAGCAGTCGAATCTCATGGTCTCAAACAACTCAGCGGATGGAGTATTCCAGTCAATCACAGCAGGTAAGCCTAACATCTGCATTGGACCTGTACTTCACTTACATGTCACACAACTAGATGAGATTGCTCTCTATGATAGACAGATCCGATTATGGGGGGTCAAAGCGCAAGAGAAGTGAGAGGCACATAAATTTCAGCTAGCCCTCACAACTGACTAGACAACCAGGTTACGGTCCGCTCGAATACTGCTTGTCGGGATGAAGGCTCTCGCCAACGAGATAGCAAAAAACCTGGTACTGGCTGGTGTTGGCTCCCTCACTGTCGTCGATCATGAAGCTGTAACGGAGGATGATCTTGGTTGCCAATTTTTCCTATCAGAAGATCACATTGGACAAAATCGTGCTTACGCCGCTCTCCCCCAACTCCACAAGCTCAATCCCAGGGTCAGCCTACAATCCGATCAGGAACCGATCTCTACAAAGCAGCCTGAATACTTTGCCGCATACGACATCACCATCGCCACTTGCCTGGACATCGATACTCTTTCCATGATCAACGCCTCTTGCCGAATCTCGAATCGGAAGTTCTATGCAGCTGGCACCCATGGCATGTATGGCTATGTGTTTGCAGACCTGATCGTGCATGACTTTGTGATTGAGCGGGCCAAAAGCAATAAAATCACAGAAGTCAACAAAGCAGAGACCATGACACGGATGGTCATGACCTCGACAACAAAGAAGGAAAATGGCAAAGTCATTGAGATGGTGTCAAAGCGCGAAACATACTCTCCAATCATTCTCGCTAATACATCACCTTTGCCAGCAGAGATCACAAACAACAGAAGACGACGACTACAGGTAACACCACTCATATCATGCCTGAGAGCTCTCTTCGATTTTCAAAAAGTCTCTGGTGGTCGCCTCCCATCCCACAGTCGCCCGGACTTAGAATTGTTCACTGCTCTCGCAACTGAAAAGCATCGTGAACTGCTATTGCCCACCGAGACATTACGATCCGATTTCCTACGAAGCTTCCTTCAGAATCTTGGGGCAGAGATTGCTCCTGTGGCAGCATTTCTGGGTGGCAGTCTAGCACAAGATGTGATCAATGTGCTTGGACAGCGCCAGCAACCTTTGCAGAACTTCCTTCTCTTCGACGGGGAAGAATTCAAAGGTCCCATATACAGCTTACACCCATTCTTCCCGGAGAGCTTGACAATGCCAAATCCAAGTTTAATGATGAATGGGACGCCAATGCTCGACCAGATGGGTGCAGGTTTGAATATGGGTATGGATATGGGTGTGGGTATGGGTATGGGACCAGGTATGACGAATGGCACTGTGGAGTAAAGGAGAGTGAATGCTTGCCCACAGGAATGGTGCTTTCGTGCTTCACGGATTGGCGAGAGGTAATTGGTTCAGGGGCTTGCATTTCTTGGCGTTTCTGGGAAGAATACAGAACCCAAAGATACCCATGAGTTGTGCTTCCCGAGGAATACTAGACATAAGCCAGGTCTCGTACACGAATTCGATGTAACGTGGCCCTTTTGATGCTGCAACTACTTCGATTTGTTCTTCCAAAACAGTCAAGTCTCACTACACATAGCCGCATGTTCTGTTCCAATTTGATTTACCTTCCTAAGCATAGTATTTGGTAAACAGACCCTGGCCTCGATCTCAACATGACTGGAATTGAGCCTTAGAGGGAAAGCTCGTCGTTCATGTCTTCCTACCCCAGGTCGTTGGCCGACCTGAAGGCCGGAGATGAGGCACTTCTGTCAATCCCAAATTTCTACGGCTCCCTGAAGGAATTGCGCAAATCTACGCTGTCAACCACAAATCGTCTTCAATCCATTGTCCGGGACGCCGACTTTGTTCAAGAAGTGGCCGCAGAATATCAACTCCCGCTTATAGCCAACGAGCGATGCGGCAGTTGGTATGTTCCTCCTGAGACGAAAGCTGGTAGCGTATATTTCAAAAGCACTGATGGCCATACGGGCCAGTGGAGCTTTAACTTGCGAAGGCTGAACCTACAAGTACTCGATCTCATTGGACGGCATGGAGGCTGTATCATTGTGGACTCCACACGTCGAGGCAAGGTCATGCCGGACGCGTTCTCCAAGACAGTACCGATATGGTGTGCTGTGATCAACAGAGCCCTCTTCCCAGAGCAACAGCAATACCATCAGTTTCAGCTACCAGGAATCAAGTTGCCTGCGTCTGAAGTTTCTCAGATCGAAAGTCGATTGGACGATTTTGTAATCGCATTTCAACATCTAGCACTTGACGTAGAAGACCTCCGAAGGAGACTTGGACAGCCCATGAGGTTGAAATGGGTCATCGGCCACGCTACACGTATACTGCCAGCAGATGAAAGAAGGGTCAGGCAAGACCATGCTCTCTGTCATACTGTCATCCTATGTTCGGCTTCCAGGCGTGTGGATGGTGCTGAGATGTCGGAAGGAGGCTACATTCAAGGAGCTGGAGACGATAGTGAAGGGTGGTCTTCAGGTATAACGCCACAGATGTTCTGGATGCACAAAGACCTGTTGCTACACGCGCAGGAGGACAGGTTTCCAGAGCTGATCGAGAAGCTTCTCTCCAGTGAACGACAGTTTCCTAAACCTTATCACGCAACGTTGATCGCGCCAACGAAGAATCTCTACATCGCTAGTTGGACAAACGCTGAGGACCTTCCGGGTTTCGATTTGGCCATCAACTGCAACAGCAGCGATCTCAACCTGCAAGATAGTGCTAAACAGCTGAATCTTGAATGCGGGCCAGGAAAGTTAGGAAGCAGAAACTTGCGGCGTAAGCTGCAATATGTCGACTCACGTGTTGCGAGCATCTTGATCCAGAATCCAGCCTCTCAAATACTGGTCACCTGCAAAACCGGGAAAGACCTATCGATTGGAGTGGCGCTGATGTTGCTCTGCCATTTTTACTCGTCTGACGGTAAGTGCATACATGAGTCTAGAGATACGGGTATTTCCACGAAGAGTGCCATGTCAAGCGATTCCGGCCAGTCCCAGCAAAGACCCATGATAAACAAGGGCTTCATTAGACAACGACTAGCATGGATCACATCTTCGAGACCCGATGCAAATCCGTCACGATCGACTCTGCAATCAATAAACGCGTATCTGATGGATAAGCCTGAATTTTTATTGAATAAGGTGTCATGCTTCTGATCCGAAGACGTCTCTAGTTGTTATCAACAGCCTGAACGAGGGCGCCAGAGGCTCCTTGATTAAGGCTATCTAGCTTTGACATATCTTCCTCAGCAAGTTCAAAGCCATATACATCAGCATTTTGGGCTATCCTCTCTGGATTGTCGCTCTTCGGCAAGGGTACCCAATTCTTCTGCAAGCAATATCTGACCAAGACCTGAGCTGTGGTCTTGCCGTGCTTCTTTGATATCTCTACTAGTGTCGGATCGCTGGCCTTGTAATTCCTGACCAGAGGGCAATATGCTTCAACCACTATGCCATGCTTCTGACAATATTGGTCTATCGTCTTCTGCTGACACCATGGATGCAGCTGTGAGAAGGGACATGTCAGCGTTTACAAGGTCTTACAGGTGAATATCCCTGCAGCATACCTCAATTTGGTTCACGTGTGGCGGCCACACTTTGGCATAACTCTTCATCTCCTCGATATGACCCACACCGTAATTACTAACACCGATACTTTTGGCCTTGCCTTCTTCATATAGTTTTTCAAGCGCCAGCCACATTTCTTTCCTCTTCTCCTTGCCAGAGTTGGGGCTGTGTATCAGAAACAAATCAACGTATCCATCTTTGCCTGAGTCGATTCTTTCCACACTAGCTAGGCATTTCTCATAGCTCTTCTGCATGCTGCCACCAGCACTCAGAATCTTGGTGGTCAAGAACACATCACTGCGTTTGATTCCCGAATCTCGTACAGCTTTGCCGACTTCGGCTTCATTGGCGTAGAATTGAGCAGTGTCGATGTGGCGGTATCCTGATTTGAATGCATTGAGACAGGATTGTACGCATTGGGAGGGTGAGGACTGATAGACCCCGAAGCCGAGTCTTGGTATCTTAGTCGAGCAATTTGGTAATGGGAGGAGATCTGTGATGGCAAGCTTCATCGACATGATAGGTGATTCACTTCTCAATCAAAGCACTGTTCTCAGAGTTCCTGGATACGTACAGAGATAGCAGGAGTATGTCAAGGTGGTGTGCTTTAAGTAGATTGTGTATATCAATCTAACGTCAAGTAAAGAGCACCCTGAGCGATTTCACGGGAAAGTCTTCCCCACATCTGCAAAGAAGATTTTGAGCACGGGCCAAATTGCACGAGCTGAATCATGACTTCATCCCGCTGAAGAAGCCAACCATCAACACCAACATATGCATGAAAATGATAATTAGCGAGACCGGAAGTCTCCTCAACACCATCATTGAAGCACCGGCGTGTTATAGTCGATGTGGGTCTTAACTAGGCTCCAATTGGCGATTTCGAGCGGACACAAGCCGAACTTGGTGCGAATCACCTGATGAAGATCTTTTGCACGCGATTAGAAAACTACGGGAGCCGTGAGGCTGCTAACTCCTGCATAGGTAGTGTAAGCTTTCTCTAGCATGTACGATGACTAGTTAGGACTAGAAATTGATTTAGGTCCGAAGAAGTTGCAGTATTAAAGTCTCTCAGACGTTGAAGCATTTTGTCGGAGGGCAGGGACTAGATCGTCATGTTTTGACCCTCCCTTCCACTGTCAGAGAAAGGAGACTGAGTTTAAGAACTTCTTGCAGCATATCTTCGACGCACTATCTTCAAGGAATGCTTCCCAAACCTCTCCTCTGCAGTTTATCCAATTCCTGGGAGACCTTTCTACTTTCGAAGTCGGCGATGTTACATGAACTGCTTTCAATGTGACCGGCATATCTAAGGGAAGCGTCTTACTTTGCAAACGTGTCTATGGCGGTTATTGGTTATCATGGCGAGCGAGCCCTGGTGAATTGAGAGTGCTGGGGGTTCCGAATCCACTCAGACGGTCTTCTTATCCCGATCTTGTGTAGCAATCAAATCATGGCAGATAATTATTTCGTCTGCACGCTCGGCCAGGCCGCAAATTTTCCCAAGACGAAGGCCCGTAGCATAGCTGATTTTCTTGAGTTGCAGGCAGAAAAATATGGTCAAAGATCAGCCGTTGGCTTTCCTAGCTTGACTGAAAACTCGGCATCTCTGCTTACGTTTCACGAGCTGAATGACCAGACTAAACAAGCCGCCAGAGGGCTAGTGAGGAAGATACCAAAGCTGAAGGAGTCTCTTGGTCAAGGGCGTACAACTGCTCTACTTGCTCATAGTCATGTCGTGTTTCTGAAGAGCTGGCTTGGACTGATCAGATTAGGTTTCTCTGTGCTTTTACTTGCACCTCAACTCGATAAAGCTTCTATTCAGCACCTCTGTCGCGAACGTGACGTGGAATATCTATTCCACGACGCCTACCATGCCCAAAGGGCCGCAGAGGTCGACGGACTCATCCTAGTCCATCTTGGACCGCACGACCTTCTCCATGGAGCCAAAGAGAATCCAGAAGTGGAAATGCAAATTGGTCCGCATGGTAAGGTTTGCTCTATACCATACCTCCACCATTCGTCTGGGACGAGCTCTGGCAAACCAAAAGCAATAGCTCAGACGAATGCCGCAGCCTTCGCAGCGTTGCCATTGATAGACACATCACCTGGCGTTGCAACGTTTTCGTCTACACCCTTATATCATGGAGGCGTTGCCGACTGCTTCCGAGCATGGACAAGTGGTCAAATGATCTGGCTCTTTCCAGGCGGAGAGAAACCCATCACTGCTCAGACGGTTCTTGTATGCCTCTCATTAGCCGGCGAGGCCGCCTCAAACGGGTCAGCAGACACTGTCAAATATTTCTCTTCGGTGCCCTATGTGCTCAGAGATCTTGCTGCAGATGAGAAGGGAATAGAGACTCTTCGACGAATGGACATTGTGGGCGTTGGAGGTGCCGCCTTTCCAACCACCTTAGGGCAGAAGCTTGTTAGCGAAGGGGTCCGTTTGGTGTCTCGCTATGGGAGCGCTGAGTGCGGATTTTTGCTCTCATCGTATCGGGATTTCGAGAAGGACGAAGACTGGGACTATCTGCGCTCTGACACCGGAGCAGAACGTTTGTCCTTTGAGCCACAGGACAACGGTCTCGTGGAATTAGTTGTCAAGGCCGGTTGGCCGCACATGGCAAAGACCAACCGAGCAGATAGTTCATATGCAACAGCCGATCTACTCGAGAAACATCCTACTAAACTCAATGCATGGCGTTATCATAGCCGAGCAGATGCGCAGATCAACTTAATCAATGGCAAGAAGTTTGACCCAGAGCCTCTTGAGTCAGCAATTGTCTCGAAATGCGAGTCGCATCTCATACTGGATGTCCTTATTTTCGGTGAAGGTGAAAATTATCCCGGGGCATTGATCTTCGTGCGAAAGTGCGCAGATCAGAATCCGGAAAACATTCTAGACCAACTCTGGCCAACCATAGAAGAGGTCAATCACCATAATCCAAGCCATGCCCGCTTGTCAAAGGGCATGATAAAATTGATATTTCACGAGAGTGAAACCGTACCAGCACTCGAGAAGAGTAGCAAAGGCACCATACTAAGAGGCAAAGCTCATCAGCGATATCATGGTCAAATACGCCAGGTATACGACGGGCAGGCAACTGATCCAGATTTAGGGTACTCAATACACAAAAAATCTGATCTGGTAGCAGCCATCGCTCGCCTTGTTGAAAGAACAACCAATAGAAGTCTGGCCCATGATGAAGATTTCTTCGAGCATGGTATCGACTCTGTCGCTTGCATACAGATCCGGCAAGCTATCCAGAACATGCTCACAGGCTCACAGCAACGAGTTAAGGATAAGCCGCAGCAAGCCCGTAGCGGAGGGGTTGGAAACACCAAATCAGACCTATTCGGGACCTCATTTTGGTCTCAACATGCTGGCGAGCTCCCTAGCAACCTTTTGTACGATTGTGGAACGATAGAGGCGGTAGCTTCATTTCTGCTAGGAGAAGAAGTCTCAATAGAAGACAATGATTTCGTTCTGATGAAAGAACTCGTCCAAAAGTACAGCAAGTTGGATGTTCCACAAGTTATAGCTGACACCTCTTCCAGCACAACAGGTAATGGACTTGTGATACTCCTCACCGGTGCTACTGGTTCCCTCGGCACACATCTGCTCGATGTCCTTCGATGCCGCCCTGATGTCGAGCGCATCTACTGCCTTCTTAGAGCTTCAGATCCATCTGTGGCATATGAGAGAGTAGACAAGGCTCTCAAGTCGAAGGCAAAGGAAGGTTTACAGCCGGTTGGCACTATCGACAAGAAGATAATCTGCATCCCCTGCAATCTTGCTAGACCGGACCTTGGAATGGATGAAGACATTTTGCGATCGATCCGATCATCAGTGGACATGATCATTCATGCGGCATGGGCGGTCAACTTCACCCTGAGACTGAAAAGCTTCGAGTTCCATCTAGCTGGCGTGCAAAACTTGCTGAGTCTTGGATCTGCTGCCGCTCCATCGACCCGCGCATCTTCATCAGACAGAGGACATCAGAAGAGACGGATCAAGTTTTTGTTTTGCTCATCAATCGCTTCTATCTCATCTTCGAGCAGTGTATCTGTTGCTGAGAAGGTTTCTCGAGAACCGCAGGATGCCTCCCCCATGGGCTACTCTCGTTCCAAATGGGTTGCTGAAGCTGTTTGTGTGAATGCTCACAAGGCTGCACAAGCAGCTGGCATTCCGCTTGACGTAGAGATACTCAGAATTGGACAGCTTTGTGGAGATACCAAACATGGGATCTGGAACAAGACAGAAGCATGGCCGCTACTGCTGAGTACTTTTGACCTTATTGGCTGTCTGCCGGATCTACCAGATGAGCAGCTGAACTGGCTTCCACTGAACATTGCTGCAAATGTCATATGTGAAATAGCCTATAGTGGCCGCCCAGTGGAAGACTCGCCAAGAGATCCACCAGTCTACCATATTCTCAACCCGCATTCAGATCCTTCTTGGACGGAAATGCTTCAATGGTTGCAGCAAGTTGAAGATGGTCGTCTGCACATTGTTGAGCCTGCCGCATGGCTGAGATCACTGAAAAAATGCCTAATAGCGGGATATCAAGGTCATCCAAGTTGTAAGCTGTTGGGTCTCTGGAAAGATGCCTATCAATCTAAAGGAAAGAATGCAGATCTGAAGCACCACTTTGAGATCAAGAGGGCTGCGAACGCTTCCGATACGATGAGCAGTGTTGGACCGATATCAGAAGTACTGGTAGGGAAGATGTGGACTTGGACAAGGAAAAGCATACGAGCAGAAACCAGTGGAGAAGTTGATTCGTAGTATCGGAAAGGGAATGTCTCATTGAAACCAATTCAAAAGGGAAAAGCACGTAGGTGAACGAGCATCACATCTTGCAGATTTAGATGCAGGTTGAAGCCGCATCAACGAATAACCTCCGCTACTCTATCTCATGCTTCCAACTTGCCAAAAATCTCAAGTAACGTGATAATGGCCTTATGCAGCGCGATGGGGTAATTATATAGTGAATGGGCGGTGGTTGTGACTGCAACGCTATCTACGTTTTGTGTCACGTATTTAAGCATAAATTAGTCGGTTGTGGTTGGTTGCGTCGGAGGCGTTTCCTTGTTAAGCGCTTTGTTGACATTGAACAGGAATCAGCTAACCATGCATAACTAAACCTACTCGATTCTCCATCTTCGATTTTTGGAAAAAGCTCAGACCAACTGGCTGTTCAATCCTTGAGTTTGCTTGAATTGCATCATACAAAAGTATCTCTTATTCTCAATCATTCGCAAGTAGTTGCCAGCGGGAAAGCTCATGCATCTGTCGCAGCCATGTTGCTGCTCGAGAAGCAATGGGTCAATGTTCAGGAGAAGACTTTCACGAAATGGTCAGCTTCGATTTATTCCTGTCCATCTAACCACCCGGCTGACCACATACTTTCTCTGTAGGCTCAATAACAAGATAGCGGCTCGCAACGTCGCCGTGCAGTCCCTTGTCACAGACCTCTCCGATGGCATCATCCTTATCCACTTGCTCGAAGTGCTTAGCAACGAATCCCTTGGCCGATATGCATCGATACCAAGGCTTCGCGTACAGAGATTCGAAAATGTCAACAAATCGTTGGAGTATATTAAGAGCCGGGGCATTCAGATGACGAATATTGGAGCCGAGGACGTGGTAGATGGCAACAGGAAGATTATCCTTGGCCTGATATGGACACTCATTCTACGGTTCACCATCTCGGACATCAACGAAGAGGGCTTGACAGCAAAAGAGGGTCTGCTACTCTGGTGCCAAAGGAAGACGGCATGCTACGAGGATGTGGAAGTTAGGGACTTTTCCGGGTCGTGGAATGACGGGTTAGCCTTCTGCGCCTTGTTGGATATTCATCGCCCTGATCTGATGGACTACGACTCACTGGATAAGAATGATCATCGTGGCAATATGCAATTAGCCTTCGACATTGCCAGCAAAGAAATCGGGATTCCGGACCTGCTCGATGTAGAAGACGTCTGCGACGTTCCACGGCCGGACGAACGATCTCTGATGACCTACATAGCATACTGGTTTCACGCTTTCAGCGCGATGGAGAAGGTGGAGAATGCCGGCCGAAGAGTCGAGAAGTTTGTTACGAACATGCAGGGAGCGTGGGAGATGGAGTCCGCCTACGAGAAGCGCATGCGCGAACTCTTACGCCAGATCGCCCTCAAAAGGCAAGAATGGTCCAATTCCTCTTTCGCGGGCACCTACGCAGACGCAAAATCTCAGGCGGTGGCGTTTGCATCCTACAAGCGTTCACAGAAGCGGAGTTGGGTGGGGGAGAAATCAGACCTCGCTACACTTCTCGGCAACATCAGAACAAAACTTTCCACCTACCGCCTTAGACCCTATGAACCACCCTCCGACATCAGTCTTGAAGCTCTTGATGCTGCCTGGCTTGGTCTGACCCAAGAAGAACATCAACGCAGCAAACTCATCAACTCCACCATCCGCGACATAAAAAACGCCCTCCGCCGCACTTTCGCCGACAAAGCCAATGACTTTGCGATGACGCTTAATGCCCTATCCCTAACCATCAGTGGCCTCGAAGGTGATGTTGACGACCAGCTCTCCCATGTCCAACGTCTCTCCTCCAACCTCTCCCCGCTAGAAGAATACCTCGAAGTCATTGCGGATCTAGACGCCCAATGCCAAGAAGCCAACGTCGAAGAGAATGATTTTACCACTTACACCTATGACGAGCTGCTCTACGAGCTCAGTCTTGTGAAAACGAGCGTGAGCAAGAAGTTAACCTTCCTCGAGAACCAGATGGTCGCACGCAGCATGACAAACTTGACGCCGATTCAACTCGAGGAGTTCGAGAGCGTATTCCGCCATTTCGACCGTGATGGCAGTAATACGCTTCAAGAACTTGAATTCTCTGCTGCATTGGCTAGTTTGGGTTTGGTGTATGACGAAGAGGAAATGCATGATGTTTATCGAGATGTATGCTGTAAAGGGCTAGAATCCGGAACGGCACGCGGAAATGGAGCTGTAGTAAGTGCGGGTGTGAGGAGACAACGCGAGAAAGAAGGGGTAGGCTTCGAGCAGTTTATTCGCTTCATGGTCAGTGTGACGGAAGACCAGAATACTGCGGAGCAGGTCTTCCAGAGTTTCAGAGAGGTGGCGGATGGAAAGGTAAGCCTGCATGTTCCCTATCCCACTCCCATTTTCTTCCTTCTTTGGGTATCAGAAAGTCTTGCTGACTGTGAGCGTTTATGTATCACAGCCATACGTCACGGAAATGGATCTTCGCCACTCTCTGATCCCGGATGATCTGATCGAGGACCTACTTCACAGCATGCCGAAGCATACAGGTCCAGATCTAGAAGTCGACAGGCAGGTACCTAAGTATGATTACATTGGATTTATGGAGAAGATGGCCGGTGGTGGTGACACTTCTCGGAGTGCGGGTAATCACAAGACGGCGCCAAGGTCTCCCGCGAAGTCGAGCTTGAAATTGAATGGTGGAGCAGCGGTTCAATCATCACCAAGGAAGGAAAATCCGAGGTCAGTGAATGGGATGCCACAAGGAGCAGGCACCTGAGAAAAAGGACATTACGGTCTAAACATCGTGGAGACTGCTGGACTACTCCCGACGAAATTGAAAGGTTGATAGGTGTTGTGGTTGGTTCTGGCATTGCGTTGGACACGGGCACTGATTTGGGGTTCTGGTGTCTATTTTCAGCCACTGCTTGGCTGTCGGGCCCAACACAAATTGCTTATGGTACGGAGTAATGGCTTGGACTACGGTATATATACGTCTAATGATATGACTCCATCGTTAAGCAAACATGACCCAGAATTATATACATTATCCACAGCGAGTCCTTGTGCCTTGCCTTGAATCAAGGTAACACAACTGCGGACTTTTAGAGCGAGCATGCTGAGATGTTAAGATGGTCAAGAATCTCTTTAAGAACAGGTTATGGAAGCCAGAAGCCGTGTCTTGTCAAGGTTAGTTCAAGTTGTATACATGTATGATGACCACTGTGCGAAGTGCTCCGTAACCACGTGAAGAACGAAGACTTGTGATTGCTCGATTAGGACTGTTGAGGATTGTGGGGGAGGTTTCGCTGCCACGACAAGAAGGGTGTGGACCCAAAGCAGTTTTAGCTTCTGCTCCGTGCCCCTCGGCCCCCACCTACTAACTCACGTGGTAGAAGCTGCCCCGAATTAAGGTTACAGTATTAAGGTTCGGGGTGTGCATGCCACTATCAGTCTTTCCTCAATTCTAACATTTCTTCGATTGACTTGCTTGACCGCTCTTAGATTCTTCCTTCTTCCCTTTCCCCTTCCCTTTCCCTTGTATGTTGCACGCAACCGTATAGGACGTTACTGAGAATTCACGTTACCGTCTCACTCTCTCCAGTTCAGATCAGCTATACCTGCCTATCCGATTCCGTCACCGCCAACATGCCTAAGGTCAGCAATTACTCACCAGAATATTGTCATCAAATGACACCTGCTGACAACCAGCTTCAGATCACCGACCTCCTCTTCGACTGCGACAACACTCTTGTCCTGTCTGAAGTATTGGCCTTCAAAGCATGTGCCAACCTCGCCAACGCCATCCTGGAAAAACAAGGCATCTCAGACCGGTATACGGGCGATCAACTGATCAAAGACTTCGTCGGCCAAAACTTCCGCGGCATGATGATGTCGATCCAAGAGAAATACAACTTCGTCTTGCCTCAGGACGAGCTAGAAAAGTACGTTGGCCAGGAGATGGACGAGGTGATCAAGAACCTGGAAGCAGAGGCCGAGGAATGCGAGGGTGCGACGGAGCAGCTGGAGAAGCTGGCGCAGAGTGGCAAGTACCGCATGGCGGTTGTCTCGTCGTCGGCCAAACCTCGCGTCGTGGCCAGTGTCAAGAAGGTCGGCCAGGACAAGTACTTCCCCGATGAGCTGATCTTCAGCGCCGCCACCAGCTTGGAGCGACCGACCACCAAGCCGGATCCAGCCATCTACCTGCACGCCATGAAGGTCGTGGGTGCCAAACCCGAGAGCAGTATTGCCGTCGAAGACAGCAAGTCGGGCGCCATGGCTGCCATTCGGGCCAAGATTCACACCGTCGCCTACGTGGGGAGCTACCCTGAAGAAGAACAGGAGGAGAAGGCGGAGATGCTGATGGGCTTGGGTTGTGAGGCTCTCATGCACAACTGGTCCGAGTTCCCTGATATCCTCAAGAAGATTGAGCAGGCATGAATCGCGTGTCTCACTATTCAGCCCCAACCCCCCCACACACATGTTCCCCCCTTCGGATCTCATGTCACCGACCTGCATGTGACCCGCTCCGAAAAAGTCCCGTCAAGCACGACCAGATGAAGCATGACCAGAAGCTGCTGTCTCATGGGGTCTCTGGCTACCCTTCTCTCCCTTCACGCCATGCATGCGACTCCTTTAGAGACGGCTCACAAGACAGACAGCTACCCCACCAGTACCTTAGATAGCCTTGAGCGTATGTGATCCGAAGGACACATTGCATAGAGCCCTCTTTTCTGATAGATCACCACGATAGATCTTTCAAGACTGCTCTTCATCTTGATATCTAACTTAACCGTTGACTCCACCATTATTGATCATATACCTGTGACGACGACGAAACCTACAGCCCCTACCACCCCCGAGCCCGGTTGGCCCTCCATCTCGCAACACCTTCCTGCTCTGCCGGCTTTTTTGATCGTTCGCACTGCGGAGTTGTGCATCATGTATATCAAAATCATTTTCCGTTCTGTTTTCTGTGGTGGCGCTGCGCCATCTTTCGCCTTCTCAGAAGCGACACCCCATCCCGTGTGCTTCCCGTCTGGATATGTAACTATACAACATCCCAAAAGTATCTAGATATCCCAGCAAAAAAACAATGGAAGGCTGCAAGGAAATAAGAGGCAGATTCAAGAGTGCCCTTGAGGGAGCAGTAGGTTAGGCTTCTAGGGCCGACGAGCCAAGGGGCGGGATTGCACTATACTCGGGCTTTTGCTTCATACCGAGATTGATTGATTGATTCGATTCGATTCGATCACCACGTCTCCTGTAGATACCTCCTGTCCTTCTCCATGGCATCGAGATAGCGTTCCGCCTGCTCTTGCGTGCACCACCACCGCCCCTCCTCCTTCTCCTCTCCGTAGTCCCGTTCCGCCTCAACACCGCTCCGCTCGCTTGGCTCCACTTCCTCCTCCACCCTCTCTCCCCCACGACTATCGCCGTCGTTTATCCCCATCGTATTCCCCCCTCTCACCAAAACGTCAACCAGAGCGCGTCGCACAGCCTTGGGCATCGCTCCGCTGCTCCCACAGACCACCACCGTGGCCTTCTTGCGGACAAGCAGATCGAAGACGTGAGGTGCGTGCTCCCTTATTCGGTCCTGGAGGTAGATCTTCTGGGGCTGGTCGCGCGAGAAGGACGTGATGAGCCTGAACTGTGCCGCACCGACTTCTGCTGGATTGGAAGAAGGGTGGTGGTGAGAAGAAGACTTGGGAGCGAGCTTGGTCTTCGCGCTCCACTCGTCTGCGAAGAAGAAATCTCTGTCGTGGTTCCGAGCGCCGAAGAAGAGTGTTGTGTCTGGGCCCTGGGTGGGATTTCTGGGCTTCTGCAGACTTAGGCTGAGCAGTTCTTCGTCGTGCTGGATGATGGCGCGGAGAGGCGCGATGCCCGTCCCTGCGCCGATGAGGAGTTTCGGCCTCATCAAGTCTTCTTCCTCCTGCTCTGCGGTATTCCTGCCTTGTCTTGTCTGCTTCGGAGTCTTGGCCTTGGTGGAGAAGCGTCCATCCGTGCGGTGAACCACGTTTAACGTGCTCCCGGGCGCCTGGGCGGCGAGGTATCTAGTACAGACACCCTGTCGGATCTTCTTGATGACGGTTTTGTACTTGACGATCGCGACTAGGAGTTCGAATTTAGTCCCTCCCCCTTCCTCCTCGGACAGTCGTCTGGAGTTCCCTCCGCTGGCGATGCTGAATTGCCTCCCCTTCATCAGGGGGAACACATTTGCAGCCTCCCACCACGGTACCTTGACGCTGTCGAATTCCTGAAGGATCTCGAGTACGGAGCGACGAGGTCGGGTGGCGTAGTCGTAGTATTCGTCTAGGTATTGGGGGAGGGTGAACTCGAGAAGGCGGTCGCGCTGAGTCGAATTGTTGATGGAGAAGCGGGAGAGGGTTGCGAAGAGCGAGCGACGGGGGATGCAGGTTATATCCAGGTAGGAGGTTAGGAGGGTCCGGAGGGTGAGGGTGGTGGTGGTGGAGGAGGAGGTGGAGAACAGGTAAGGGATGGGGCAGGGTGGGTAGTTGGCGAAATCTGTGGGATTGGAGGTCGGTATGAATGTGATTGGGGTGTCTGCGATGGATGTCCAGTCCATCAGGTGGATTAGCATGTTGACATCTTCGGGAAAATTCTTGGGCATGATTGATAAGGCGTCTCCTGGGAGGTAGTTGATACATCGATTGGTGGTTAGAGTTAGGAGACGAACGTCTTGCCAGTGCGAGGAGGGAGTCACTCTTTTGTTCTCTTGGAGACAGACAGGAAATGAGCCTGGTATTGGTCGAGTATCGTGGGTAGGGTGCACAATGGTTGTTTGTCCGTTTACTCTTGTGCATTCATCGACCGCATCCCCATCCCCGGTCACGCTGAAAGACCTATCTGTGTGTCCATTGGGTACAACATGAGCTGGCCCAAGGACCCACTTGCTGGGTAATGGTTGCTCGTCAGGTATGGGCTGCAAACCATCAGGCATTGGGAAGTCTTCCACTATCGCTGCTTTGAAAAGCGGTAGCCAGGCCAGAAAAGCGCCGTCTGTGCTTTCCTCGCCCTGTTCATCCGCTTCACAAGCATCGATGACTTCCAAGGCACCAAGCTGCTTCAATCGCTTTCCGAGCTTCCGCGCAGCCCAGTTGAACTTGGGATAAGATGTATCTCCAAGACCCACCAAGAAGAATGAAACACCCTGCAGAAATGTGGCGGGGAGTTTCTTCTTCAGCAAATTGGTCCAAAAGACCCTAGCATTGGACGGAAATTCGCCCTGGCCGGTGGTTGAGAGCACGAAGATGGTGATAGTATACGTAGAAGGAAGCGTGATGGGTACATGATCCAATTCAGCTACAGTGGTATCAAAATGCAAACGCTCAGTCGCACGGCCGACCTCTTCAGCGAGGTCTTGAGCAGTTCCAGTCTCTGTGCCGTAGAGAATGAGGGCAGTTCGCCCCTGGGCGTCTCCATTCATATCTCTTGACCGAGGGATGGAGCAAAATCATCTTTGCGATGCACTGTCCAAGATAGTACAGGGATCGTTGACGCCCATTCGGTGGTCTGGCTATGTACGCAGGCCGATCAACACAACTAAGAAAGCAACTCCTGATGAAGTGATGAAGTGATGGAGTAAGTACAATGCTGAATAGTTGAAGAAGAATTTAGCATGTGGTGTATGTCCGCCAAGGATTGATTTGGAAGTTCTTCGGTGGTTTGCCTCGAATGCTCCCTAACAGCTAAATAACAGGGCGCATCTGAGCCCAACACAGACACGAAAACTTGGTGGGATTCCCTATATTCCGATGGATGTCTCCTGTTCTATGCCTATCCCGCCCGAATAGGAACGAGTAAGAGACGTTCCACGATCTTTCCCAAACCGGAAAAGCAATTACTCAAGTACTCTCAATTACTCCATTCCTCAATTCCGACTGGTGTCATCCCTGTGTAATTCAGCTTCCCCCTGTTCTAGTCACGTCACTGGCAGTGTTCTAGAACCAAGTTTCTCTGCAGCCACAAGCCCCAACTTTCCCCTCAAATGTCATAAGTCACATTTTCTCCATCAATTCATTGTATATGCTCAATTGGCTCTCATCGTGTCATCTTTCTTCGTTGAGAAGAGCAATGCTTCCTACATTGAGATAAAAAGCAGCTAACACTGCTGCCCGTCCGTCTCCACCTCCTGCAGCAAGAAAAAGGTGACGCACCCGCGGCACTTCTTCCCCTCATAGACAGCACTACATCATACCCTCCCTACCACGTACACCATGGCAAGCCAAATCTCCGACGCCGCCGGCGGCCTCTCCTCCCAAGCCGGCGGTATGAGCGGCATGCCCCTCGGCGGCATGAGCGGCGCCCTACAAGGCGGCGTGAACAACCTCTTCAACACGGGCCAAAACATCCTGGACAAATGGTTCCCGCCGGCGAAACGCGAGGAGCTGAAGAACAAGCTCATGAAATTCGCGACAGAGCGCCCGCAACTGGCCGCGTTCCTGCTCTCGCAGATCGCCCTGTCCGGCATCCCGCTGGCCCTGTTCGTCATCATGAGCATCACCGTGCTCGTCTTCGCGCTGCTGGCCGGCATCATCGTGGGCGTGCTGGGCGCGGTGCTGTTCACGGTGTTCTGCCTCGGGCTCGCGCTGATCATCCTGCTGCCGACGCTCTTCATGACCACCTTCGCCGGCTTGTTTGTCTTCCTCTGGGGCTTGGGCGCCTACTACATCGTCAAGTGGTTCAATCAGAAAGAGATCCCGGGCGTGCACAAGGGCGGCAAGGAGGAGATGCAGAAGCAGATGGGGCTGGATAATCTGCCGGCTGGGAACGGGGCCGCGGCCCCGCCAAAGAAAGATGCCGGTCCCGATGAAGCACAAGCGAATGGACAAGCGAATGGACACGCGGAACAGAAAGAACATAAAGAACATAAAGAACATAAACCAGCCAACAAGTCGAAATCACCTCCTACGGCGCAGAGGTCACACACTCCGAGTGGGAAGGGGACAGGTGCTGATCGTGGTTCTGACGGCGATGTGAAAAAGACGGCTGGTGGCGCGGTGTCGGGAGCGACATCGGGAGTGGGAGTATGAAGATGACAATCCCCGACGACGGACGAAGTACCCATTTTTCTTACACTTCCTTCGACGTCCAGCCACAGCATTGTACCTCTTCCCTTCAAGCGCCGAGGATCCATCACAAGTCCTTCTGCTCCCTCCCTCCCGAAGCAAGACAAGCATTCGTCTCGTTCCGTTCCTGCGTAGCCCGGCGTTCTTCTTTACTCGGTCATCTTCACGAGGAGCCAGCATTCTCCATGATTTTTCGATGTCTAATTGTCGGACACTCGGCCAGCTCAGCCCAGCTTGGCCATTGATTTGATGATCGGGCATGTGTATTTATATTGTTTTGCTACGAGTCGGCGAAGCACGAAGAAAAGACGTGCCGCTGTGAAAATTGTGCAGATTGAACAACGGACAGCGAGTATCTCCATGTAAATAGATAAAAGTCTAGTCACAACTCATCCAGGCCGTGTTGAGCTTTCGATACCGGTAGGCCTACATGACTGACCCCCGTCTAAATCTGTAACTTGGTCCAAGCGATGCAGGGACCGGCGATTGGCCCACCTGAATAGGCGATAGCTTCTATTTCCTCCCGTTATCGGTCGTGTGAAGATGTCACCACGTCGTCCCATCATTCATTCATCGACTTATATAAACAGATCAACACCTGTAGCCCCGAAGCGCCAATGAGCCCATTCTATTCCAGCCCCTCCGCCCACCCAACCCACCTCCTGATAACCTCATCAACAGCCCTCAACCCCTCCCGACTCGCTTCAACCTCAAACCACTCACGATGCTCCCTCCCACAATTCTCACAGGCACCCTGCTCGGTGACGCGCTTCTCCGACAGCTCAACATGAATCAGTCTTTCTACGCGATGCACATGCGGCACTTTCCTCGGTAGAACGGACCGGTCAGACTGCGGAGGACTTCTAGAAGGTTTGTACGGGTAATATCTGATCAGGGTGATGTTATACGAGCATTGTTTGGACCACTGGCTTAAGCGGCGGTGGACGTTTTCTGCTCGGCCGATCTTGAGGAGGACGGTCTTTGGTTGGGTGGGTCCTCTTCGTTGCGAGGCGTAACGTTGGAGGACGTCGCTTTTGCGCCTGCTCTGTGGTTGGGAAGCTGTAGGCGCCTCCAGGAGGTCAGAGGCAGCGTCATCATCCGGTTTGGAGCTGTCGGATTCGGGGGTCAGCCAGAACATATAGATGTAGCCTTCCGCGTCGGCGGCCGAGATGGGCTTCGAGAGCTCGTTCAGGAGGATCGATGTTGTCTGCGGAGAGAGATGAGGCGGGAGAAGGGACAACAGGCCCTGGGTTTGCGAGCCAGTGGATTGGGGTGTAGTGAGCATGCTTGGCCGTGTTGGCGTTGTAGGGGTGCGCAGGCCAGGCGAAAGAGCTGATCTTCGATCCGGTGTCGACGGGTTGGGTCGTTGTGACATTGGCGAAGGAGTCTGTGCTGATAGCCTAGCAGGCTGCACGGCAGGCACCATGTTATTCTGCGTAATCTCGACGACACGGTTTGGCGGTACATTGCTTGCATCTTGGGAGTGGTGAGAAGACGACGATTGTTCGTCATCGCCCACGTCTCTCACGCAGCAAAGTATAGAGGCTTTAACATTTGACCTAGGTTGCTTCGTTCGCCGTTGTTGCTTCGGGTGCGCGGCCGGGCTCAACATATCGCTGGGGACGCTCATCAGTGGTCCCTGCATATGTTGCCAATCAGATGGTAGCTTTGGCCTTGCTGTTGAAGCGCCATTTCTCTTCTTTTTCCGCTTCTGACGTGTCGCTGTTGGCGCAAGGTCTTCCTCAAGGTTCATTACTCCAACGCGGTCCACAAGCGTGTCAATGCTGGTTCTCTCTTGCAGCGGGAACAGCTCAGTATGGTTCTGCTCGCTGTTGGCCATCTTCTCCGCTTGATCTTTGTGTTGCCAGCAGTAGAATGCTGCCGCTGCATTTCCATCATCTTGTTCTTCACGAAGCACAGCAAGGACGCCCCGACCTTTCAGGGGAGAAGGGCCCGGGGACGATGCCGGTGAAGACCCGAGAGACCTTCTACAGGGTCTTCCATTGGCAGTAATCCCTTTACACGTAGTCGCTGGATTCTTCGAGTCGGATCTGGGCAGAAGAGCCTCGGGGGTATGGGCTGCAAAAGCCATGTTCGTCTTTCAGTCTCTCAGCCTGTGCTGCAAACATGGGTCAAGAGCTGTCAGTACAAGAAACAGAAAAGGAGGGGAAAGATAGACAGATGGAGTGTAGCAGGATCAGACTGTCACAACAGAGCAAGCGAACGAAATCTGAAACTGATTAGCATCTCTATCACAGCCGCGTCGTTTGTCGAGGCAGTGATTTGGCACCCGAATCTTGGATTCATGTTCCATTAAAGCTGGATGACAGCTTCATTGCATTGTTGACTCCAACCTTTTTGTGGCTGGACCATCAACTGTTGCTGATTCATGGTGGGCTGTGTAGTTCGAGAGAAGAGGAGGCTGGGAACCACTTTTGGCAATACTTAAGCCTATCACACTGCGGCAAATCTCCCTACCTGAAAGCGACGCTTGACCAAAGCACCGCTTGTCGGTACCACAATGAGTCTTCAAGGGAATCTGTCAGACAAAGGTCAACAGGTTGTGCATGATGTCGGCTCAAGTCAATAGAATTGTTTCCCTTCTTTGATGCTACGATGCGCTATGTACAAAACAACCAGTTGTAATTAGACCTATCTGGGCGCTGCAAATGGGTACGTCATGTCCAGAAAAAATATACTTGAAATGCAAATGAAGCTTCACCGAACTGTAGATACAATGTCCAGCAAGCTCAATGCGTCCTCATTGGCACTCTCGCATTGAGCTATACGAGCCTTCAATGCTCTGCTCTCTTCTTTGAGCAAGTGCACCACATCCCATGCCTCTGATAGTTGAACGCCATGGCAAATCTGGCATTCTTTCAAATGGTCTCCCTGGAGGGAGTCAAATCGTGGTGCTTGGTACAGCTCCGGACTGGTATCAGCGGCGGAGATTGGCGTGCAAGTCCCCAGCGGTGCCTGTGAGAATACGCTGTCTGACGAGCTCTTGTGAGAGACGAAGGATCCTCCAGATTGACGCTTTTCCTTCTGGTAGCCATCTGGCAGACTTTCTGATTCATTCGCATCTGATTGGTCCATCGTGATGATGCGAAGACTCCTGCTTCGGAATTCGGCATCTTCTCTGAGCTTACATTTCAAGGCCACGACTTCTTCGGTCATGGATTGCATAGCAGACTTTTGTTTCGCCGCCTCTGCCGCCATGTTGGCCAATTGCAATTTCAGATGTTCACTTCGAGTTTGCGCAGCCTCCAGTTCGTCCCTTAGCACATTCTTCTCTGAAGTGACCTCCCGAACTGATTGCAAACTCTTCCGGTAAGCACTCTGGAAGCGACAGATGACGCTTTCTGCATTTGCCTGAAGGCTCTTGAATCCTTCGATAGATGGTTCAACGGTCATGCCCGACTGAAAAAGCGCAGTTTGGACATCGAGTCTTGTAAGCTCATCCTCCTCCAAAGTAGACTTTTCTGAGTTGGTAGCAGGTTTGGATTTCCAGAACGTGAATTTACTGCTCCCAGCTTGATTCTTCTTAGCCACAGAGAGAGTGCTGCTGCTTTTCTGAAGCCTACTCTGAGGTCTTTTCGTCATGCTGTCGTTTTCTGGTGATAGGGAGCTCCTAGCAGATCCTCGTTCCATCTCAGCAAAGTCGAAAAATGGGTCGTGCTTTTCTTTTACAGGTGATGGAATCAGTGTTATGTTGACTGGTTCTGAGCTACCGCCGAACCAATTGGCCAGCTTCCCTGACCTCGTGTCACCTTTTCCTCGCGGGGACTTTTCACCCGTGTATGTATGCTCGAACTCGGCTGCCTCCTCTGGAGAAACTGGCTCGGGTGAAGTCGAACGATCCTTGCCAAACTGGAGAAAGGGAAGCAATACCGAAGACCTTGAAGGTGAACTGGATCGGCTGGATGGTATAATTGAAGCAAAATCAATTGTAGTGTTGCTTCGATGATGGGAGTCTAATGGTCGTGTTGCATTCGGAGGAGGTAGCCTTGTTTGCGACTCGTTTTCAGTGATGCCCCCTGTTGGTGAAGGATAGGTGGGATGAAGAGTGGGGTGAGGAAGATGAGCGAGCATCCTGAGAGTAATTCAGACCGCGGAATGCACACGTGCGTGTGCAGGTTACTGCTTCCGGACTATTTCAATGGAATGTGGTAGCAGCCTCACAGCACGGATTCTCAGGGCGGCGGGATCAAGCCTGCAGAGATCTTTTCCAGACAGCTTGCGGATGCGCAAGGGGGTCAGTTGTGACTCGTTGTACTGTCAGCTATCACTAAATCAAGCAAGTATTGTTGGATTAGTACAGCAGCATTTCATCTGATTAGTACGGGTGGGCAGTCCTTTGTATCGTATTTCTGCAAAGTAGGAGGTTGGTACCAATTCGTCATCATGCTGGGGTGGCAGGAAGAGTAATCCGCAACTAGCAGACCTACCAAATCATCCTGTCCATGTCCTGACTTGTGATTCGATTGTTGGAAATAACTTGGCCACAGATATGAGGACCACAGCTGGGCAAGGAGAGTGGACATTTTCAATAGGCCTGAATGAGATCGGTCATGATGATCTCGCATCGTCTCTGCCAAGACCAACCTCTCTACTTTTGTCTCGGCCGCATTCGGTTTCGCTTCAGCAATCCTAGTACTCCATATGGCAGTACTAGGATGTTGTTGGTTAGATTCTGTGATCAGCACAACTCGAAGTTGTTTAATAGCGCCGTCTCCTTCGCTTGACTTCGTCAATTCGAGGGGGACTTGTCAAAATGACCATTGACTATTTCGCATGTCTCAGCCTGCTTGTCATAGCCGTTGCCAGAACTGATGCTGCCTTGACCAACTGCAAATGTGTAGGTGGTCGCCTTTTCAAACTCTTCTGAATAGCGTCAAGTGCAAGCTCTTGAACGTACTTACACCTGAAACTTCTAGACCCCATACGATACCTGCTGGCCATTGGCTGCCACATGGAATGCATTGAACACTTCAGTATCTGGACAGTTGATCCTAAATATTCCTCCTGCCGCTGTATGCTATCCTGGGCCACAACAGGATTCCCAAGCATGTGCCTATGTCAATGCACAGTGGAGCAATGCCACGTTTCAATCCAACAATCCTGTTGGTCTCAGCTATCCGATCACCGTGTCATGTCCGCCAGTCAATGCTTCTGCCGGCGAATTACCAGGCACATGTTCGATAGGTGACTTGCCAAGGTATGCCGTCAACGCAACACGACCGGAACACATTTCGGCAGGCATCATTTTTGCCCAGGAGCATAATATTAGACTCGTCATCAAGGATACTGGTCACGATATCTTGGGCAGGTATGTTGCACGCTGCGGATTAAACATCACTGCGTAAGCTTATCTGGACGATACTTCCAGGTCGAATGGCTTTGGCAGTTTAGAACTTTGGATACGTCATTTGAGGACAGGTATCGTACACCAAAAGAAGTACAAGCCTTCATACGGCTGCTCCAAATCATCCTGGAAAGGAAGTGCGTTTACCATTGGTGGGGGTTATACTTGGAAGGATGTGTATGCTGAAGCCGAGAGCAGAAATCTCGTCGTCGTTGGTGGCGGAACTCCAGTATGTCCCACTCAACAGGTTGCTAAGGCATTCAGTGCTCACTACCCCCAGACCGTAGGTTGCCTTGGTGGTTGGATGCAGGGTGGAGGCCATGGGCCTGCAAGTCGTGATTTTGGTTTGGGAGCAGACCAAGTTCTCGAGGCTACAATTGTGCTCGCGGACGGCTCCATTGTCACTGCAGATCCTTGCCAGAATCAAGATCTCTTCTGGGCGATTCGTGGTGGAGGTGGAGGCACCTATGGCGTGGTTGTGTCGACTACCGTCAAAGCATGGCCCACAACCAGCGTCGTCACTCAGCACCTCGCGATCGCCCCTTTGGCTGACGATACATCGGCGCTTCTCGATGTGATTGCGTTGGTATGGTCTAATTATCCCGATCTGAACGACGCTGGCTACAGTGGCTACGGAACCTGGACCATTGCAAGCCCAACGCCGCTTTTTGGCAATTTCACTTCAGGCTTCGTCCACGGCATTTCCGTGTTTGGTAAAAGTATTGAAGGGGCGCAGAAAGTGTTTGCGCCGGTTGCGGAAAAGCTGCAGACGTACAATGGGACTAGCCTCTTCGTGTCCCTTACTTATGCAGAATATCCCACGTATGCTACTTTTTACGAGGCAGAGTCCGGAGTTGAACCACCTGTTGGAGCCGCCGGAGCCCTCGGATCGCGACTTTTTGACCGTGCTGCCCTCACGAAGAATCATGCTGGCTTGAGAAGGATGTTAAACACAGTTGCAGGGGCGCCAGAAGAGTATACGACAAATGCCGTCGAGCTTGTAAGTGGAGGGCAAGTCTTCAACGACGCTAGCGATCCATACTCTAGCCTACATCCCGCATGGCGCACTTCCTATATGTCCAACATTGTTGCTCGGGGTTGGCCGCCGGGTACAGACGCTGCGACGAGAGATGCTGTGCATAAGGACATAACGTACAACAAGGTCGCCGCCATGAAGAAGCAAGCTCCAAATACTGGGTGCTACATGAACGAGGTTCGTCCCTGACCCATCTGTGTATAGACATTTGCTCTTCTAAGGTCGTTTACCAAGTCTACCGGCTGACACAATTGGGAAGGCCGACCGTCTAGATCCTGAGTACCAGCAAGATTTTTATGGAACTCATTTTCCGCGCTTATCCTCTATCAAGCAACAATATGACCCCAAAGGGACCTTTTATTGTCCTACTTGCGTCGGCAGCGAGCTCTGGACAGAACTGCCCAACGGAAAATTGTGTTTGAAAGGTAGTGAATAGAGAGCTCTCAGCCTCGCTACGCGCATTTGGTCGCGTCCTATAATAACTCGTGAGAATCTCTTCTAATGTAACGATATTTAATTTTTACTATCACAAGTCTTATCCTTATCGTAGGGATTTCCAGTCTCTGGATACTGATATTTGGGGGAAATGTAGGGAATAGTTGTACTATGGTAGATCCTGGGCGGAGACATCAGTAAAGTAAAGTGGTGACCAGGCAAGTGGTCTCAGGATTCATCTCGTACCCACTGGCAGTACTCTACTGGTGATCTGAAATTCAGTCAACTGTGCTAACCAAATCAAACTTCGGATTATGCATGAACAGAGCCGAACAAACCAGTGCACCGAGCATAGTTCTCTCACCATCTCTGACAAGGTTTCTTGAAAACGGAGGGGGGATAGAAGGGGGCCTCATTATTCATTGCCAAACACAAAATTAACCTATACGCCCAAGTATAAACTTTGCCCAGCTCGGGTAAATTTCGGATTAACCCCGGAGAAAGCATATTCCTCAATGCGTGTTGCAGACGGTAAGCACCCAGAGAATTGCGCCTGCATGCGAAGAACGTTCTCATGAGGTAGCATGGCACCTATCACAGAAGTGGAACACCTGACAAACCCTCTCGTCACCGTAGAACAGCTTTACTCCTTGCAAGATGATGATCGGAATCATACAGAAAACGGGCAGTCTGTACGATATGCACAGGCACTCTTGACCCAGGCAGCTGGAATACTTCTCCGCCTGCCGCAAGAGGTCGTTGCGACTTCTCTGGTTCTCTTGCAAAGGTTCTGGGTTGAGAATCTTGGCCAAGGACACGCAACGGCTGACCTGAAGGTACACAAGTTGCTGGGAATGCCTACGCTTACACAAGCTAAGAGGACATTGCAGATCGCTTCAGAGGCATCCATCTACCTCTCTGCAAAACTTTCTTTCACTCCTGTGTCTCCACGCTCCGTGTGCAATGTTTACGCTTACCTGCTTTCTACGTCCTCGTCATTACCATTCATCGACTCTCCTCCGCCATCTGCAGCTACCCCGCCAGATCCGCAATCATACTACGTATCCGAGGGCTCCTACGAGCGCGAGCGCGAAAAGATCCTCCTATGCGAATCACTTATTCTGAGCAGCATTGGCTTCGATGTACATGTTGCACTTCCCCACACTCTAGCATTGACCTACGTACAGGCCCTAGGGGTATCGTCCAGGAAGCTCGTAAGGCGCGTCCTCGAACACCTTAATGGTGGCCTGCTGTCTCCACAGTTGCTCTCCCTGACCCATCAGCCTAATGCTTTAGCAGTCGCGGCAATCTACCTTGCGGCAAAGGAGGTTGGTGTTAAGCTTGTGGATGGAAATTGGTGGGAGGTGTTCGACGTCGAAAGAGAGGACTTGGGATTCTTAGTTTTGGCTTTTGGTAGTTTTGTGGGCTTCGCGGCTGCGGAGAAGGAAAGATGGGAAAACGAAAGAGAAAAGTTGCGGGAATTGTTGAGCGGAGGAGGTTGAGGGTGTCCTATAATCCTCAAAATGTGACCTGCAATTGATTTGTATGCGCGGCTTACAGCGCACGGGACTGGTGGGAATCTAGCATCCTCGGGGCGGAATGTCCGCGACTGAATACCTGGCTGTCGCCAACTACGCTTCATTCAAAGGATGACCTCGCCCAATGTTCAATCTTCAACTTTGCGGGATGACATTATGACTCTGAGCCATACCTTAAGCGGGATGACAGGGATGCATAGTAAGTTCCTTGAGGCCTTAGAGCAGCAGGAGAGGTGGTACTGACTGTCCATTGCTCAGGCAGAAGAGTTAGTACAATGAGGACATTCGAGCAGCAGGTTTCCTTGACCTCCGTCAGCTCAAAGGAACTCCCGTTATCGACGTCATCATCATTATGAACGAGAAGATAATGACCAGGCCGGAGGAACTTGAAGAACAGAAAGCCTGGTCCTAACAAAGCTGCTGCTACTTAGACAAAGGTTTTAAGGGCATGGTTGATGATAGTATGGAGCGCTCGATTGCCGTATTCTTCAATGGTACCCGAGACCTATCCTATACCTTCAATTAGAATCCACGTTTCATAAGGCTTGGAGTGGGGTGGACTTCAGTTAATTTAGAATTGCCGCAACTGGCACGTGACTCGACTTATCCATGCCGTACTAGTACTTGGCATGCTTGCCAAGACTCTGCATATGTCGATGTCTTCTAACCTCCACAGTTTCAGTTTGACGTCTCGTACGCAGCGTTCGCGAGACACACAATGTTATGGATGTCGTTCCATGTCTATTCTTCTCTCCTTCCACTCTCCACCGCTAAGTGCTACTTTTAGGTCTCTGCTGTCTGGCTCCGACACCAGGGATGTCACATAATCGCTCAATCTTCCCACAAGGCCTTGAAGCTTTCCATACGCAGGCCTGTGATTGCAGTCCAACCTTGTACCAAATTCAGCAAGGGACCTCAATATATACTTGATCTGAACTTCTTGAGATGAGGACGTGCTTTGCGAGGCAAACTGTGCAAGAAAAAAATTGTCTTTAAAATTAACCACAACCTTCACCGGGTCAAGGTTTGACACCAGCAAATTGTGCTATCATTGGGCACCATAGCATCTACAGTACTTTAATACCAAACATACTATATGTTGGACTCGGTTTACGTCTGAGCCGGTCTCTTGGCTTCCCGGAAAAGGTGATGCAAAGCCTGTTTCGTCCCGCTCAGCTCCATTTTGTCTACTATCTTAAAACTTCATATGTCGCTTGTCACTGTGCCCTCTCACTTCGGTTCGCCTTTTTCATATCTCAGACACAATCATTTGTTTCTCCTGTCGTGTCTTCGTTGTTGGAAGTGATGAGTGGTTATATGGTCCATACTGGCCACCTCCAATCAAACCTTTCCGCGTCTAGGATCTCATCCTTCCTCGGTCTTCCATGAGTATATTATCAGGCCAGAAAAGAGCTCCCTTGCTCTGTGGTGTCGATTAGTACACTAGCATAATGGAGCGGTTCTTATCAGAGCTGTACACCCGGCAAACCACACAGGATACGGAAGCTACGCCCACAACAAGTCCGACTGATGGCTTAGTAGGTGAATTGATATGGAACAACAGCCTTCAGCAGCGCACAACAACCGTAGTGACGATCAGTTTCAACGTTCTTGCAGCGCTTCTGGTCATTGTGAGCGTCTTTTTCGATGCAAGAAAGGTCACAAAGCGAGGGCTGTCACCGCGAGCATCGTATGAAGCATGAAAGTTCCTCTCTGGTCCCTCGCTAATCCTTCTAGGAATAAATTTTATTTTCTATCGAAAGTGCACGCAGCAGACACATTTCCGTTGACCATCTCCACCGCCATCGCTACGCAAGGCATTATATTTCTTGGAGTGCAGGGCAGCGGACTCGACGGCCTGCGTGCTAACGGCTGTCAGGCGATCTCGCAGGTAGTCTGGCCAGGTTTGTTATGTTCTACTCTGAAACAACACTGGCTAATCTCTGACAGCTATTTGGATGGTGGCCTATACTCTTCTGGTTTTCAGCATTGAGGTTGCATTCCGCGGCTTTCAGAGAAAGCGATTTCATGCTCGCGGCAAATTTACCGTCCAAATCTGCTGGTCAATTGTCCTGACGATGCTGCTTGCGACATGGGTTCCGTCTCAGGTCTACAAAAATCCTAAGAACGACTGTACCGCCAGCTTATTATCGTGGGCGATGCCTTGGGCCGATATTGCCTTGTTCTTGAACTCTATCCTTATTTTCCTTTACCTTCTTACTGCATTCCTCATTGTCTACCAACTTTCACGTACAGCAAAGATTGATCACATGGAAAGAATAGCAGCAAGCAGGATTGTGTATTATCTAGCCATTGCAGTATTTTTGATGGTATGCAGTTCCTTGATTCGATCATCCATCGCTAGCTAACACAGTTGTACAGTCAGGTGTCCTTCCATTTTGGGCGCGGATCGTCCTAGGTGCATCCACCAATAACGCAGCACGTGTTGCAACAATAGGTCTCAACATCTTTGGGCTGCTAACTGGCCTCCTGTATCTTGTACTCAGGTCAAATCCAAACAACATGGCTTTCGGACCTGGTGGGGCTTCCAGGACACAAAAAGAAGAATGGCGCTTTTTCGGCAGCCCTGAACTTGACATAGGCAAGCACATCACCAACCCAGTCGGTCCTGAATATAATAGTACTACTCACGAGACCGTCGTTGCTGCGAAGGAGAAGAGCGCATTCGAAGCTCGTTCTGTTAGATCGAAAGCTACAAGCGGTTCTACTAAATCTTATGGGAACCGGCCAGCACTCGCCTCTCCCTCGTCTTACCGAACGCCCTCGAAATCCACAATCAGCAAGCCGCCACTCACTTCTCCCCCATCCTACCGTGCACCTCCCATACCCAACGCTAACGATCCATTACTCGTTTCCACCCCAACATTCCAAATTCCTCCGCAGATGCTACGCTCAGAGTCGCCGTTTCTATCCTTCAATCAAGCGAACTACACTCTCTTCCCACAACGCTCGGGATCAACACCGGCGACAGAAACTGATCACGTTAATGCGGCGAAAACCGACCCGGTCAACGCACCAGCGCCGCTTTTCGCCAATTATCACAGACGCGATACCTCTAACGTTACCAGTGCAACAGTCCAGATTGGGATGAGACTAAGCACCGGAACCATGATACCTGGACTTGAGGAGCGGATCAATCGCGCTGCCACATACCCAGCTGTCACTGGCAAGTCCAAACAGGACCATCGGAAGAATTCACCGCAATTGCCTCAACGATCGCTCGATAGACTCCCTAAGCTTTTAGCTCCCCCAAATGAGATGAAGCGCCGCCCTCGAGACTCAAGCCCGCAAGAAATTCTTTTCCGGCTGAATTCCAACGAGGAGCTCTCTCCTGACGCTGTCCACATCACAACTCCTTCCTGGCGTAAGCCGCTGGAAGACCTTGTGAGTCCTACACGTAGGATATCGTCGTGGCGGAAGTTTCGCGACAGGAGGATGAAGTCCCTTCCTCCCGTGCCAGTCACGCCGTCAACAATGCCACCCCCATCGAGTTACCGAGCTTCATTTCCAGAGCCACGAACCCCTGCGTCGCCGGCTGGTCCGATGCAAGCCTCGCAACAACGAGAAGCCCTGTCGTTAGCACTAAAAGAAGACGAGCAGTGGCCACTACAAGGGTTGGACATGGTCTTGCTGCCTGATAAGTCCTATACGCCAGACAAAAACCGATCATGGATTTGATGACATCTGAGCATGTCTTTTAGCGTTTCATTCTGCGATACCCATTTTCTCAACTCTTTTTTATTTCTCATCGTCGATGAAACTGATGTTGATGCTCGTTGAGGCCCGTTTTAACGCTGTGCGTCCCTCTAAGGTCCATTAGGCGCTTATAAAGTGGCCTCGACCATGAAGAAAATAAAATACTACACTTTCAACATATCTGTTTGTCATCCATCCACCTATGCAAAGTGATTTCAATCACCCTTTCGGACCGCAGCTAAGATGACCTTGCAGACACATCTATGTCATCCCAACTCTCTAGTATCCAAAGTAATAGCAAAATTGTTCCTTGTTGCACCCGAACGAAGCACTTCTTTCTTGATCTGAATATGGCTCCTACTCTCCCCTATGGGCCCAAACGTCCAAAGCGAGTAATAAAGCTTCGATGTTATCTTCTGCTTTGACAAATGCAAGCCTAAAGCATACATAATCTGGGACAGTCTCTCTTCCGTCAGGTAGCGCGAATTGGCAACACATGCTAGAGGCAATACAAGGAACAGAGAAGGTATCACACCTTCTTGTGTTGGATTCTCCAGTAACTTCGGGACGCGAGCAAGCATTTCCCCACGGGATGCCGGGTCAGAGACGTAGTTCAGGACAAGAGACAAACTTATCATATGGAACTTCTCGCCATCTCTGGGAACGGCCAACTTCATGAAATCAGTCTCTTCGATGCCTGGGTCTTGCGACTTGAGATCGATCCTTCTCACGTCCAGGCATGATACACGTGAACAAGCATTCTTAGTGCTGAGGGCCCCAACCTCAAGGACCCTGAAGCGGTGAGACTGTTCATGTGCTCCCTGTAAAATAGGCTGTAGCCATTCTACGAGCACACGACTCGAGTCTCCACCTCTCTCGGCAGACTGTCCCTGAGTGCTAGCTACCTGATATTTGGCGAGGCCACCCTGGGCTGTTATCTCTGCTTCGAGCTCTCGAGCTTTGGAATCATTATCGTCTTTTAATGCTTGCGTGTAAGCTTTCTGCAGATTGTGGTGAGAACGTATGAGATTTCTTGTAGTTTTTGACGACAAACTTGCAGTTGGAGTTTTTGCTAATGGTGGCCGACCTCGAATGATGGACTTAGGTTTTGGCTTCTTGCTATTCGCTGCCATTACTCAGTCCGTTATCAAATTCTGTAGTTACTGTGTGATCATTTCGTTGATTGCTATTGGTGCACTGCAGTCCACAACTGAAAATTGGCAAAAAGCATAACCAGACAAAAATCTTGGCATTGCGACCTTAGTAATAAGTGGCTTAGAACCCGAAGATCACATGACCCACCTGGAACATTTGCAACCCGCATCTGAAGTATTCAAAATCGCGACAACAACGAGAATAAAATATCCTGGCAGTACCCTCGAAATGGCGCCCAAGTCGGATACTAAGAAGGGTAAGATGATCTCCTTTGCGTTTCCCGGCGGGGTCAAGAGGTGATATTGGCCTTGCAAAAAAATAACCTGCTTGACAAGTTGCCTGTGAGAACAAGCAGACTAGTCCTGTGAAGCTTTGAGAATACCGTTATGAGTGATGTAGTCGGATCACTCTGGTCGAGCTAACATTGTCACCCTACAGGCCCGAAGCCAACAAAGCCGAGTGCGAAGGCAAATAATGCTGCAAAAGCCACGCTCAAGGGTGTAGGTGTTATAATTGACTTGTGCTCTACGCTGAATATCTGCTGAATAACTTGCTAGGTACACAGCAAGAAAGCCAGAAAAGTCCGCCTCTCTACCACATTTCACCGACCGAAGACCCTCGTTCTTTCACGATCACCAAAATACCCACGCAAATCAATCCCCCATGAACCACGACTCGATGCCCACAAGGTGATCATCCACCCCCTCAACACGGAGAGCGCCATGAAGAAGATTGAGGAGAATAACACTTTGGTGTTTATTGTGGATGTAAAGGCGAACAAAAGACAGATCAAGGAGGCTCTGAAGAAGTTGTATGACGTGGAAACGGTCAAAATCAACACACTCATTAGGTGGGTTACAATTGAGAGAGCTGATGGAACGTTGCTGACTGTCTCTACAGACCGGACGGATCGAAGAAGGCTTATGCACGGTTGACAGCCGATGTGGATGCGCTCGATATAGCGGCTACCAAACTGTCGATTGTTTAATCTCGGGGAGGTCGTCGGTCTGTATAGCGTGTACTGAGAGCACAACAAGAAGCATTTGCACAGCTACCAATGGAGCTCTGCATCACTATCAGGGAAGTTATCGGGATTTACAATGCTGCAGCTCGTCGCCGAGTTTCGTTCTCGAGAGGGCTCAAAGTGGAATTCTCTATCGGCACCAAGTTGAATCCCTTTCGCCAGTCCAACCCAGGTCTACCATTCACCTAGGAGATTCCATATATGCAGCCAGCGAAGATGCGAATTCCATGCCACCCTTGCTGATGCTTTTTGACGTCTCTGAAGGTCTATGCTCAGCTTTAATGACGATTCGCTGCTCCCAGAAGCCACCGTAACAGAGCGTGATTAATCTACAAACGCGAGTCTACTGTCCAGCTCTCAGCGTCTCCAGATGCTTTAGTACGGCCAGACTGGTATCCATAAACCTCTCCACACAATTTTGCATGCAAACTTCCTCCTTGCTCGTCAACCTGCCCGCAGATAATGATCCTGTAATACATCGCTTGAAACATCGCTCGGTGAGGTCGTGAACAGCTAGGAGCAAGTGTCAGTAGCTGGACAACACATGAACGATACATCCCGAGTTGGCACTAAGGTCTGTAGACGTACTACTCTGTATTTGGTTCTTCTGGCTCTCATTCTGGACGAATTGCTGCAGCTCTCGCTGGTCTTGCGGCGTGAGCTTGGAGACTGCGCCGTCTACGCTAATGCTTGTTTCCATGTCCTGGGACGTAAATGTTTCAGACTTTGTAGACGAATTAAGGTTAGAAAGGGGATGTCGTTCTCGATGGGCGCAGGCAGAAAGGAGTGACTGTATGGCGTACAACGAGGGATGATGGTTGAAGGCAGAGCTTGGATCACATCTCACCACTCATGCAGCGAAAGAAATTCAAGCTCCGCCGAAGGCGGCAATCAGCGGCAGAATTTTGCGGCGGAGGTACAGTACTCCGCCTTGTACCCGCAGATTACATACAGTACCTACAGCGTGCCCTGATCATAACATTCTGAGATTCGCTATTCTCCTCCACGTCTCTTGCCCTTTCCCCACTCAATTCCCACCTAAAACTTCACAATCACCCAAACCGCGAACGCTATCCATCCTTCGCCCCGCCTGCGGCAGCCATGCCCGCCATCCGCAGCACAGGCCGCAACCGCAAACCCCCACCGGCCGGCTTCGAAGACATCGAAGACACGCTCCTCGAATTCTCCAACAAGATGAAAGACGCGCAATCCGCACCGCACGAGGGCAAAAAGAAACACGAAACCCTCTGGCCCATCATGCAGATCTCGCATCAACGTAAGGCTTTTAACCAACCCCTCCCCAATTCTTCTCTCAACCCCCCCCC